CGAAACGTAGTCCACCCCACATTGCCTTTAAAGTATTTCAACATTTGCATCACGCGTGGTTTCTGTCACTGTCAACCGATTCAAAGCAAAGTATTCTTTGATACTATAGAGCCCTTGAGAAATATACTGCATATTATAAGGGATCGCTTTGGTGGAAATATAAGCGTTAGTTATGTACGCAAGATGAAGTTGCCGAGCTATTTCTTTCGGAAGGAAATTTGTTAATTCAATTCAATTTAGGAATGTTAGCTCTTAAAAAGGTACCAATTATTCGTTCATATTTTATAACATTTGTATCCTTAACTAAGGGATAGAGATATAATTTCAATATCACGCCTGGATGAGGTATACCTCTACGTACTTTAAATGCAGGAAACGCCGAGTTTCCTATTGTTCTACTAGGAAGTTGTTAAGACGCACTTATACTTTCTCCCTATCGTCCGATCGCTCGTTCGCTCGATAGCTTCATGTCCATCAATTCAAAAGAGAACGGATGGACCGATTACGATGAAATTTGGCGGGTGGATTCCTTGCGAAATTTGTAGATCGGAATTCGTGCATTACCAATGTAGGGCAAGAAATAAGGAAAGCCCTTTTGACATCTCTGTTACTTGTGAACCGAATTGCATGAAATTCAAACTGGGCATAGCTCTAGCGATATCATATGTATCGTCAGGGTGGCATAACTCGTGTATGTTCTAATGTTAGCATATTCAAATGATGTCTTTATGCCAGAACAAGTCCCTCCAGGATACACGGGTCTGCGCTAACAACGTGACACTAACCAGGATGCCGCGGTTCTCATAATGTCTGCAATAAAACAGGTCTGTAATGAGAAAGGTTGGTTTCCAGGCTTTTGTGCAGTGTTTCATTCCTTATTAATGAGCTCCTAGCGATTTCATAATTTTGCGGTGTCTGTCCGTCAGTACGATATCTCGAAAACGAATGGACTTGATCAAATTTGTAGATCGGAGTTCGTGAATTTGCAATATAGGTAATAAGGAAAATAAGGAATAAGTAAAATATGGAAGGAAATTCGAAATGAGCATCTCTTTAACCAGTATAATACGAAATGCCATACCCAAGAGCTCCTTTGCTATATTTGTTTATTTAAGATAAATAATATTTTGCGTATTGTAAATAATTCTTAGCTATTGCTCGTTGCTTTTTATGTTTTGGGGTAGACTGATTCAATTCTTTACGTAGAAGAGCCTTGATCACTAAAGAGCACTTATAACTGTTTGTGAATGTGGGTGGTTTTGTCCCTGAATGCTCGCGCCAGGAATATTCATCTCTAAGAGCGCTCTCGCCCCTTCAAAAATGAAAATGCGTTCATGGAATGTTTTCCTTTGTAGTATTTGCTTCCAAAATATCCGTCCCCAGAATATTCGCTCCCAAAAAATTCTTTCAGTATATCCGCACCTCTGTCGAAATACAATCACTAGATACTCTAAAGAAAATTCGTGTTTAGGAAAACTCAGAATAGCCCAGTCAATATCTTACCAAAATGTCTTAAACGTATCCAAAAACCCCAAATGTTTGGGGGGGGGGGCATGCCGCAATTTTGAATGTTAGGTTCTTCTTTTCTGTTTTTCCTCAATATCTCTAAAACTATGAACTTTTCCATAACCACTTATACTTACAAAATGAAAGCTCTTTAAATTCCCTAAAAAAATTGCTGTAGCTAGCGCAGATACTACTCGCACCGCCCTTTTATGCCTAAGAGTATGTGTACCAAATTTGATTTCAATAGAATCAGTCATCATCGAGATTTTGTTTGATGCGGATTCCTGGTGCTTCAAAATATGTATTGCCGTAAAAAAAAAGTGGGGGTCATTTTTTACCCTAATGCAATATCCCCCTTACTAAGGTGCGGGTGGTAAAAGCGTTCGTTAGGCGCTATATTTGGCGTCGAAAAATGAAATTTCAGATTTTTCCGTTTCGATGCTGTTTATTTAATTATTAAAACGGCGTGATGTTCAACAGTAGAAGAGGGGCAGCAAAGCGTCCATCTTGGATTTTATTTCGGGTGGCCGTTACATTATTATAGTGATATTGAAGAAATTGTATATTTCTAATATTGAATTAAATTAATTTCATTGCAATAAATAATTGGTCACATTCGCAAATTGACCCGATTCCCAGAATTTTAATTAAATCGAGTGCTTTAATTAATTAATTACTCAAAATCAAAGCCTAATTTCAAAGAAATAATTAAATTAATTAAATTAAATCATTTCCGTCTATTAAAGGCAAAACTACTATCAAAACTCGAATCAAATTCGTCATTAAAAAATATTTTAATTGACCCCAGTTGATCTCGCGAATTAAACCGCAAATGCACAGGGGTAAAATGCAGATAAGAAATGAGATAAAACGGAGCGGAGAAAAATAGCACAATATACAGGGTGTTAATTAATGTCATGCAGATATTTCAACTGCTTCCTTTTTCAATTCGTTGAAACTTTTTCCGTAAACGGACAAAACGCGTTGAACATCTTCCACAACTTTGGTTAACATTCTTCTGCACAGATTTATTATAAAAAAAATGACGAACTGCGTCTTCAACAAAACAAGTAGAGCTGATTGAATTTTAGCGTAAAAAAATGTAAACGCGAATTTTAAAATAAATCGCCAATCACGACGGAACGCCCCAAACGAAACTTCTTATCGCAAACGCCCAGATGTGTCCTACTTCTATACCTTATCTAAATTGTATAATATCCAAAAGCGATAAAAAGAGGATATTACAAAAATTTCTAAAAGGAAAAACAACACCGACAGATGGAAAAGGCGCCTTTGGGGCGAAAACCTTCTTACTTGTTTGCATATTTGGTACTAGACATTAGTACACTTTTATAAGTAAACAAGTTAAAAAGTAATCGTAAACGATTTACATAAAGCGCATTTCCACTTACATTCATTTCCCATTTGTAAGATGCAACTTCTGTTAAAATCGTAAAAATCCGGCCACAAATATGAGAGATAGCGTTGCACATGAGCAATCCATTTTGGACATGCTATTTCAATTTCAGTTTATAAGAAGAATTTCATTTCAATGCATTTCTAAATAAGAAAGTTGGAACTGCGCATGCGCAAACCTAAATTTTGAAACTAATGTTAGATTTTCCTTTGTTCCAAGCGCCTAAATACCAAATTTCACTTAAATGCTTCCATAGATAAAAAAGTTGGCACTGCGCATGCGCAAAATAAAATTTTGAAACTGGCGCTAGATTTTCATTTATTCCAAGTGCCTATGTATCACATTTCATTTAAATTCTTCCATAAATAAAAAAGTTAGCACTGCGCATGCGCAAAACCAAATTTTGAAACTGGCGTTTGATTTTCCTTTATTCCATGTGCCTATGTATAAAATTTCATTTAAATTCTTCCATAAACAAAAAAGTTGTTACTGCGCATGCGCAAAACCAAATTTTGAAATTGGCGTTTGATTTTCCGTTATTCTAAGTGCCTATGTATCAAATTTCATTCAAATACTTTTATAAGTAAAAAAGTTTGCAATTCGGTTTATAAATGGTCGAGATGCGAAAAGGGCACTGTGAATTTGGAATCGATTCGATTCAACTTTTGGCATTGCGTATTATATGGCTAAAGCTATGCCCATATTGAATTTCATGCAATTCAGTTCATAGCTAACGGAGATGTAAAAGCAATCGAACATTTCTAAACAAAGTTATCGTTCACACGGACAGATAGATGGACAGACAGACAAAGGAACAGACGGACAGACCAACAGGCAGACGACAGATAGCAATGCGAAATTATAAACAATCTCTAGGATCGGTAAAAATATGGAACATGTAAAAAACGGTTTTTTGTTTTTTTTACAATAACTTTTTTTGTAAGCGGTACAGAAAAAATTCCTTCCTTGGTACAAGACTCGACACCATAACGAACCAAATAGCGAAAAAAGTAGAACAATAGCTCTTAAGATAAAGAACTAGTAGCGTCGCAAAACGAGCGGACGGACGGACAAAGTGGCCACAATAGGGCATTTTTTTTATTTTTGTGGAAATGCGCTAAAAAGTGATCATTTCGTTTTTGTTGAACCGATAAGTATTTTATTTGCTGTAAACGAAACAAATTTGCTTTTTAAGTGTGCAATATTTGACGCGATTCTACCATCTTCAGTGGTTCATACCCTACACTGCTTTCCCCACTCATAAAATCTAAGGGGATCCTTTATTCTCTTAGTCTTTATTTGAAAGCCTCTAAATTTCACCGCAGGAATCTTTTGCATGAAAAATTCCTAGCGCATTAATATTGATGAATTTCGGGACAAGACATTTTTAATTACATTCATTGCGAAGACGAATTAATTCAAATTACAACCGGCAGCGATTCATTAACGTAAATGTGCTTTAATAAATTACATTCATTTTTCTTTTGCAAATAATCCTCTTTCGAAACGGATGTCTTGAGTTTTTCCAGCCCGGCTGATTTGATATCGTCGGTTCACTGAATTTGAAACAAGCTGCAATTAACAATTGATTCGGCATCAAAGAGAAATTTGGCTGGGTTTAAAAAAATGCCAAATAACGTTTAGAAATCTCGGAATTGCGTTTTTAGCGATTTTCTTTCGCATGAGACCGAAGCGGGTAAAAGGTGCAACAGTAGCTTTCTAGGTAAAATTGTCATTAAAATGCAATTAGAAATTCGTTTGTTTCCCGAATATTGTGCAAGTGTTTGCCAGTTTCCGGTAGGACATTCTTTGAAAGGTTTAAATGCCATCATTACAATGACGTTATTTTTAGTTATTGTTTATGCATCGAGTGCATATTTAGGCCGAACGTTTTCGTCAATGTAATTACTTTCTTAAAAAAGTGCACGGCACCAATCTCGCTACTTACCTTTTCCGAATTATTAGCTGGGGGAAATGAACGCCCTTTGGGGTTTTAATCTAAACACGAAAGAATTTAAAATTGATTGCTTATCGCGCTCGGGGGTGGATCTAATTTTAAATGTCCTTTTATTTGCAGGGCCTAGACAGCGTAAGTTCCAGCGGACAGCTGAGACCTCTAAATGCGGAAATATCGGCGCCGCGAATTGATAGCTATCGCTTTTCGATGGCCAATTTAGAAGATTCGCAAGATGTCGATTTGGACGCAATACTCGGCGAACTATGTGCACTCGAAACGCAATGTGAAAGGGAAATTGGAAATGCAAGAGATAAACGTATATCAGGTAAATGGTTTTCGTTTTATCATTTTTATGTTGTACTTTCCGAATTTGTACTATCTACTTCAACTACTGACACTACTGCCAGAAGCTAGGGGGAATTTTTGGTAATTCGATTTTATGTGTCGAACGGGTGCACACATTTAGTTTATTGCCACATTTGGTTAAATGTTTATGGACGATACTCTCGTTTATGATGTTTTAATTAAAACAGTTAGTAAGTTCTCCCTGTGAAAAAGTCCATTAATTATAGTAATTGGGTATATAATTGGGCCTATCCATTAAGCACCTTTCCCCCTAATAAAAAATAAAATCGACTTTATTGAGGCCCAATGGATTTGTTGCATTGTACAAGGAGTATTCATGCATTCCTTGTTACATGGTAAATCGTCAAGTGGTCTAATTACTAGTTAAACTATTTTTCTCCAAGAATGTGGTATACTGCAACCTGAAGTTCTCCTACTCAAATGCAGACCCTACAGACCAACATCTATTAAGATTAATCCCCTTCATGTCTATCTGAAACAACCCCTTTCAATCGAATATAATATTTACGCTTTACTAAAAAAAACCTTCAGTCGATTTGAGATCAAGTCCTTTTTTAGAGGAAATAATGTACAGTTATGTACTCTTGCTATATGATTCTGCAGCTCAAAATCTAATACGAAACTTCATTTCCTAGACGATTTGAGATGATTTGGAAGGCTATAACTTACATTTATCGAGATGCCGTGATATGAAGAACATTTTTTTCCCAATTGATCTGAGACAGACCTCGTTCTGTCACATTTTCTTGTGCGCCACAGTTTTTCTCATTACCCGATGGGGGATTTATGAGCTCCTTCTGAGCAATTTTTCATATATTGTTTATAGTGACACAATTGTTTTTATTGTTAATAATGTCTGGAGGTTAAGGTTAATAAATTGACAAACATATGGATTGATACACTAAGGTCGGGAAAGCTAGATGACCCTCCATTAAATATGTACAGAGGTAATATCTTTCCTGTGTGGAAAGTTCCCACCCACAGATCATACTGACACAGAATGATTTTTAGTGATCAATAGCAAGTTAGCTAAGCTGCTTAGGTTAATAAATTGACCTTAGAGTAGATTCTTCATCGAACGTTTGATATGTTACGCAAGCATTCCATGATCACACATAGGGCATGTTAGATGGGTTCTCAATCCTATACCCAGGATAGCACAAAATAATCTTTTATGTACTGTATATGTCCATTAAACATTCACAGAATGTCCATACCACACCACGATCCTCAATGTGAATGCTAGACAGGACTTTCATGTTCTTGCCGTTCCGGTAGGTGTAGGGAAAATTGCACTGAAGAAGGGTCGAAAATCTAGTTTGAATTTATTTTTGTGAAATTCGCGTTCAAAGAATATGAATACATTATAAATAGCCCACGCCAATAAGTTCAACAGCATTAAGAAAATTAAACGATTTAACTGGAGATTATTAGATGGGACAGTTTAATAGAAGTGTAGGTATTGTGTCGCAAGATGCGATTACATTTACAATTTACGTTAGTGTGGCTCTGTCCTTTGTAGATAAACGTTTGAAATATCAATTTTTACTACCCGTGCTATTGTGGGGATTTTATAGTGTGTTATTTAACAATATTTATTGGAAAGCTTAGGCAACGTAATAGGATTTTTTACGTCGCGTCGTAATTTCTGTAATGAATTATGTTGATGGCGTGTGAGGTGTTAATGGGAATGCTTCGTTTCAGATTTACCCAAACAGGCGCACCAATCGAGAACGCATACGCGGTCGTGTTCAGAGGGTCCAAGATTGAAACTTGATCCAGGAGAGAGCGATCTGATGCTTAAGACTGATTCCGGCAGAACCGATTCGCCCGATAATGATTCTGCATTTAGTGATACCGTTTCTATGCTATCAAGCGAGTCATCGGCAAGCAGCGGGGGTGGTGGGCCCAAACCTCAAACGCTTCAGTTACCTTCGCAAAGTGGACAAGTAAGTTTTTCCTGAAAATGTTGTGTGTGTAACCGTCTTTGCTAATCGTAGGATGAAGCAAGCAGGGCCAAATCCGAGAAGATTAGAATGGCAATGGAAAAAATTAAGGAAGCGAACATACAAAAATTATTTGTGAAGGTCTTTACGGTGGATGGTTCCGCAAAGTCGTTGTTAGTTGATGAGAAAATGATATGCGCTTATATAACTAGATTGTTAGCCGATAAAAATCACGTGCAAATGGATCCAAAGTGGGCAATAGTAGAACATTTACCCGATTTATATATGGGTTAGTATAAGGTCGTGGACCCTATGATGGGCGAAGGTTAATTTTATTGGTTTCAGAGAGAGTTTACGAAGACCATGAGTTATTAGTAGACAATTTAATGTTGTGGACTAGAGATTCTAAAAATAAGATTTACTTTGCGGAAAGGCCGGATAAAACCTTGCTTTTTTCACAGCCTGAAAAATTTTTGTTATCCTCCAGTGATAAACGTGACAATACCGACTATGACGAGCATTCGCGTAGTATGTTGTTAGAGGAATTTTTTGCGTCCACGTCACAGACCATTCCGCAAGTCGAGGGGCCTTTGTATCTTAAATCGGATTCTAAGAAGGGTTGGAAGAAATATCATTTTGTACTTCGCGCTTCCGGATTATATTATTTTCAGAAGGAGAAACCAAAAACGACCAAAGATTTAATTTGTCTGACCACTTTTGACGTCAATCAAGTAAGTTATGCTCAATCACGTAATGCATGATGCCTAAACCTTTCGTTGCAGGTTTACTATGGATTGGGGTGGAAGAAGAAATACAAAGCACCAACTGATCATTGCTTTGCAATAAAACACCCGCGACTGCAAGAACCCAAATCTACTAAATATATCAAATATCTTTGCGCGGAGGATATGTACACATTAGAACGCTGGGTTATAGGAATACGCATTGCTAAACACGGACGACAACTTATGGATAACTATCGAATGTTAATGGACGAATTGGCACAGGAAGATCTTGACAAACTGGCACACGCTCGAAGCTGTTCGGTTAGTTCCATAGCTGTTCAATCCAACGCCACCACACCTACGCAAAATAATCCAACTCATTCCGAAGTTCTTCCACGTGTTGAGTGCTTCCGATATAGCGGCAGTGAAGGATATGGCACCCAAAGCGACACATACTCTGCACTCAGCGAAGTAAGCTCGGGCAGACACAGCAGAGCGAGTAGTTCCAGCTCCAGTGGGTGCATGTCCGATGGTGCACCTTCCAGTTGCGAAAACGCCTTCGAATCCGAATTCCCAATGGGAACCATCAAACGCAAACCTTCGATGAAACCTAGCCTTCCACTGACTAATATCACCAGACAACTAAAAGAAGTTGGGGAGACAAGGGAAGAAGGCGAATCTACACCTTTACCTTCTAGTCCGGTTTCATACACAAACTCAGGTAATTCTGTTCTTCAATCACTCACAGTCCGTTATAGCTTTTGCTGATATAGGTACACTAACAAGATTGCATAACAGAAGAAAGTCTTCAAACTCAACCGATGATTCCTCAAACAGTGGAACTTTAAAGAGGCAACATTCCTATAAGTCGCGCGGTTCTATTGAGTCAATGAGTGGAAGGGGAGGCAATTCGTCTCCTCTTTGCGGAACACCTATTCGTGAAAGAGCATCGCCATTTGGGGACAGAGAAAAAGTTAGTCCATTCAGTGAACGGCCTCCAAGTTCCAACTCCATTAGAAGCCCGGTTTCTGTTAATAACGGCGATATGCCTTCTTCTATGGTATGTATCAGTTATTCATTCCTGCATGTTAACTAACTGGTTTGTATGCTTCAGTTAACTAATTGTTTGGTGGTTCAAAAAAGTGATCTCTAGTTAAAACTTCTTTGCATGTGTTAATTTTGTTTCAGTTACGTTACCGTTGTGCATGATAACTACTACTATCGCATGGTCTGTTAGTTTAATGGTATTGTATCTGTAATTATTGGCATATCTCTCACTTGCTGTAAATGAAGCTTTTATGCACGCTTGAAAATGGCTAGTTTTTTACTTATATCGCGTCGCTATTGAAACACATCCATTGGCGCGGTATAAACCGAGATTAGTCATTTTTACAATATGCGCTCCATGGATTTCAATTACTAAAAATCATTGTCTGGTAATTAACAGATGGACTCCATAACATCCTTACCACCACCTCCGGACAGCACAGAAGATTTATCTCTAACAGACTCCACATCTTATCAATTACCACCTCCACCACCAGAAGTCTACAATTCAAATTTATCACTCGATAGTCTACCTCCTCCCCCAAACCCATCGGATTTACCTCCTTTAACTGGAAGCGAGCTTACTGGAAGTCAACTGTCCCTTATGTCCCTACCACCACCGCCTAGTGAAAACGGTGACACAGACACAGTGCGTCGTAGAAAAGAAAGTACAACACCTACGAGCGTTTTCAGTCCCGAAAGGACACCAACCCAGTCACCAGACTTAACGCCGACGCATTCAAGGTTAAACACACCGTGCTTCAGTCCACCTCCTCTAAGCATTGGATCTAATAGCAGTACACCGACACGTACGAATCCTCCTGTTAGCTTTAGTCCCACATCCCACATCCCTGAAACATATTCTTCAAATAATAGTCAAAATGTTGTAAATGGACAAAACTACGATAGGCACCCCAGTAATCAAATTCCCCCACAACCTCCAGCCTATATGAATCCGCCGCCTTATCGACAGAATTCGACGCTTCCGAATTCGACTGTCGCATTTAATAACACAAACGGACTGCGATCGTCGCTCCGACAAACATCACTGCCAAGGCAAGTGTCTGTGAATAGCATAGCTTCTAGTAATAGTTCTAGTTCGTCCGGCGGCACAATCTACGCAATGTCGCCGCATATGACTGATTTACAAAAGAAGAACGCCGCAGTGTCTCCTCAGCCGCAGAGGAAGGTCAATTTTCAAGAACCGACGAGTCCGAAGAAGTTGACCAAGAAGATTAGCTTCAATTTGATACCGCAGGAGGCGCCCGCGCTACCCAAGAAACCGCCGCCGCCCGTTCGATCGGAAAACACCAAGCTGTCCAGTCCGAAAAAGTTGGTGGAGCCGCCCAAGGATTTTCTTAAAGATCTCCAGCGGGTAATGCGGAAAAAGTGGCAGATCGCGCAAAAGTGCAAGCTCGAACCTTCGACGACGCCTCACGAGGTTTTGGGATTTAGGGATCCCGTCCCGCTTCTTCCCGAATATAAGGAGTCGAACGTGTCGCGCTGGGTCAAAGAGCATTACGGATGCAATAATTACTATGAAAATATTTACACGGATAATGTAGAAAATGTTGTAGAATATGCTAGTAGCCCTTTACATATGCCAAAGGATGCTTCGCGAAGTAAAAGGCCACCCCCTCCGCCTCCGAAGCGCAGTGAAACTACTCAATTGAGTACACCGAGAATCCACTGATGCTGTGTTTCATAAGTGCGATAGTTTTAATACGACTTTATTTATAGTTGCAATTAAAAAACGGTGAAGAATTTTTTAAGTGTTTTATTTTCTACTAATTAGTGGGTTCACAGCAAGATTCCATGGCAAAAGTACCTATTGATTTTTACATTTTTGTTCTGTTGCGGGCGTAATTTGTATTATTGATATAGGTCATTGTTTTGGTAAAAATTTACAAAGGCTGTTAGTGATTATGCCCACAATCTGTGTTGTGCCATTTTTATAAATAGTAAGTAGTATGGTGTATATGTTAATTTTATTTTATGTACATATTAATAATGTGACTTAAGAATTGTCAAAACATTATGGTGCTTTTAGTAACTAATATAGAAAACTTTTTGGTGTTTTATACCTTGTGAATGTTTGTAAAGTTTAATCAAGTTAAAACTGAATGAAAAAAACAAAGTTTACAGGGTTTTATAACACACAATGTTTTATATTTGAGTCTTCTCTAAAGTAAGTGTAAATATCTAAGTAAGTATAACCAGAAATGTTCCATGCACATTTGTTATATGTAGTAAAAATAATGTTATGTGTAAGTAATGTATCTACTTAAAGGTAAGTTGAACTCTTTTTAATTGGATGTAGGAAGATCTCCATAATACCATTGCCATACTTTATACGTTTTTATACTTTGTATAAGTTTTATAAAATGTTTAGATTAATTGCTAGATGTATCTAAGACCCTATGTATATAGTAGTTTTACATCTGGTAGTTCTTCTAGGTGCTCAGTTTTTTGAGGACAGATTTTCACCTTTATACTTTTAATGAAAAATGTAAGAACTGTAATTGATGTGTATCATTTTTTAATTATCATTGCGTTCTTTTAAAACATAACTGCACTAATAATATCAATGTAAGTTTTATTTAGTACAACATACAACACTGTATTGCTGGTCGATCCTTATACATATTTACATATAAATTATTATGTACTAATTGTTAATAAACTAAAGTATTTCTTAGCGAGTCTTGTCATTAGTTACTGCACTGGTAAACAATACCCAAAACCTCCACTAACAAAGGATAGTTTTGCTGTCATCACAGCTTTGCCGTCGAAACGCGTTCCTTTTATAAAAGTTTCTTCTGGTGTTTATTGAAGGCTGTATTTTTTTAAGAAAACATTTACGTGAAACATTTAGTCTTTATGTTTGCTAAACATTCGCCAATGTGCAACTATTAAAAATGCGTATAGGTACCTAAATCGTTTTCAGGGACCCCGCAGTCATTGTGTTTATTGTTTTCTAGGGATCATTACGTTAGAATATATCTATTTAGAAATGGCAGATTCCGCACAAAAGTGATCAATATGGCACAATTAACTGCTTAGTCTTGTTCTTTTCACGTAGTTCTCATCTATAAATGCAATTTAATCAATACATGTTTTTCTGATTACAAGTAACTTTTGTATTGAAGTAAAATCCACACTCTTTGTGTTTATGCAGCTTGAAAAAATAACGGTCTTTTGTGAAATATGATGCATACAATGTTTATGCTAACGTCATCTGTTCTGTTCACACTGCAAATGTATCGTGGAAAACCAATAAAGGATATTATATTTTTTGTGGCATGTGATAGTTAAAAGGTCAGTATAAGCTCAAATCCCCCGGGTATTCGTGTATTCAGCATGTTATTAACAGAAACGACTTCCTTAGTTTATCTTGCATATCAATTAATTCTCCTTGCATCATCATGGTAAATAATTGCTATTGGTTAATTTAATTTGAAGGTGTATTTCATTTATAATAAGTTCATCTGAATTATACTTTTGCCAGCCGAATAAGTGCAATTACATAATTTTTAGTATACCTAATTGATGAAATACGTTCAGTTCTGAAATGTCTGACGAACTTTAATTGTGGCTTGTTGTTTTATCAACATAATTATTATCACACTGACTAAAGCTGTAGGGTGCTGGTTTAAAACTGGTTCTCACATTGCAATTTATGGCCGAGGATGTTTAAGGATATGCTTTTTGAGATGGATCGAATGCTGGATATCAAGACGTGCAAATTGTAAATCCCTCACTTTCTTAACCAGCGGCGAATCATAATTTGGTTGCTTCCATACTCTGCTTCTGTGTAACTTACCAACGAGTCTAAATTTCACAAAATAGGCTGTAGGCAACGTTTATTATTAAACCAAGGGCAAGGACTGTGGTGGATATACATATAAAAGTGAGACACAAAGGGTCTCTAACCCCAGTTGCAGACTAGACAATATCATAAAATAAATTAAAAAAAGAGGTGTCCGACTGCCTGTCAATAATAAGGGCCGTTGCCCGTTTATGTAATTAAGTCCGTAATAATTAATAAATGACCAACAATATTTACAACAGAATTTATTACTGGGACGCGTTGGACTAAGGAACATTTTTTTCAACTAATGAAATGCGTGTAAAACTGACGAAATTCTAGACGTTTTGGTATTCTGAGCGATATTATCTGCAATGAACACTGAAAATATTAGTTTTTCAACGAAAATGCACAAAAGTGATATTTACACGCTAAATAGTTATGTACCTACGCACTGTACATTAATCAGTAATTCCTCCTATTTTCTAAACATAAAAGTTTGGATAAAAATTTCTTCTTCCTAAGGAGTTTCGCGGGAATATTTCTATGGGCACTCCTAAGCATATTTCACAAAAGATATTTGTATGATTTATGAGTTCCATACAGAGCGTTTCAATAAGGACTGCTAAAGCATTTTAGAATTGCGAATATTTGTTAAAAAAGTCGAGCATTTCAATTGTTTGCAAACGGATTCTAGTGATATTCATAGATTGACTTGTCTGCTCTTTTCTAAAATTACTAAAAACGTCCCCAACAAGTTCTTAAAACGGCTTATAATCCTAAAGAGTACAGAATGTTTTTTACAGAGACTTCTGTTAATTTCCATGTAGAATAGGATTGTTAAGAAGTTGTTTTATCTACTAGGTTATCTACTTGTAATGACTAATGACCTACCGACGACGTCACTTTTAAACGTTAATCATCTCTTAATTGCTAATTATATTAAGAAAAAAATCCATTTTGATTAGGCATCACGTGAGAACCAAGTGTCTTTTGAGAATATTTCTTGTGTGAAGTCTAAACTTCATTTCATATATCCGACATCCGTGGTAGCGTTGGGAAAAAATTCGATTAATCGATTATAATCCACCGATAATCGGGTTTGATTATTCTTTTAAATGGATGGATTATTTGATTAATTAACACAAGAAATTATCGATTATTAAGTTAAATTTAATTGATTCCTTTATGGCGATTCGCTTTTACGTACCTACTTTTAATTCGGTCTCATTTTAAGGTCTCGTTTGTGCGTACCCTTAATTTTGCGTAATATGCATGGGAACATTAACCCCCTTTAAATCGGCACCCGAATTTGTTACATCGCCAAGATATTGTGCTAATTTGTGCGCCAATCCCCAAATGTGCGCTTATCGTTTACGAGAAAATCAAAATTTTCCGTTGGGTGGAATGCCATCGTACTCGTATCCACACGACACGATTGCCATAGTTTTGTGCCGATTTGTGCAATCTCAGGCGGCGGATGTATACAAAGTTGGAATCAACACTTGCACCACGCTATGATAAGGGCCTCAATATGTATGGTGCCTATGTTGAAAAATAGCCTAAGAGTGTAGCTTCCAAATGTATATATTAAATTTACGTTACATTTGATTATGTAGCTGAAATTCTAAAAAATTTCTAATATTTAACTTAACACTACACAAGTCACGCGGTAAGGCCAGACCAATATTTAGAGTCATCGTGCAAAGAACCCTATTGAGTTTGAGCCGTATATGTTGAATCTATTAGATTCCGCTACGAATGGCATCTGTTCTAGAGTAATCTATTGCGTTATTTTGCTGTACCTAGCTAGTGGTTGTTCTGGTACCCAATAAAATGATGGTTTCCGAAATAGAGTATGTGCATGTTATGGTCCATCCATGAAATAGCCTGCTTGTCGAGTTTGGGAATTAAAAAACCTTGATCTTTTGCCACCTTTCTTTCCAGATGGTTGAATGGAACTGGATGGAGCTATGCTATAGGTTTCCTCTACTCAAGATGCGTCCGGAAAATGTTGAGACTTTGCGTCTTGCGTTTTTTACAGTAAGTATAGGGCACGACCTCCCACCACTACTGGTGAGAATTCGTACCCTAGGGCTCGTGGTGTAATGAAAGGGTGTTTTTGGACGCCTTAGGTATGTGCGTAATAGGAAAACCTGGTGACGTTTGTGACTTGTTTGTGTTTGTATTTTTTTGGACGCCTATAGGGCCTATGTATAGTTCGTTTCACCAATAATTTAACATTTCTCATTAGGTCGTTAAGTAGCGGGAATTCTCACTGCAATTTTTAAAACAATAGGACAATAGCCCCCATTTAACTAAAAGTCAGCGGTTCTCAATAACATTTTAATGTTTCAAACGCCAAATTGTAATTGGGGAAACTACTTGGAATGTGTCTACCTATTTAATTAATACATTGATATGGTATCAACATGATTATTGTCGTTAATGTCCTATCGACGCATTCCTTAAGGAACTACATTTTAAATATATCGATTATTAAGGAAATGGGCTGATTTATACGAGCACTACAATTTGGCGTTTGGAACATTAAAATTTTATTGAGAACCGCTGGGGTCTGGGGTCTATTGTCCTATTGTTTTAAATGTCGTAGTGGGAATTCCCGCTACTTAACGACCTGATGAGAAACGTTAAATTATTGGTGAAACGAACTATACGTGATGATACAAGCCTAATTGATTTATTTTTGTATGCTTGACTCTTGAGGTTGTGAATGTGGTTTATGAATGTTCAAAAAATGCTTGGCACTACGTAATTATGAAGGGGCTAATTGTTGTGTACGTTTAATTGTACCACCTGTCAGTGTTTGTCCGTCTACAAAAGCTTTTACATGCTTATGTAACTTATGTAATCTTCTCATACAAGGGAAAAACCAAAACAAAAAAAAATTTCAAAATTCCATTCATCGTAGCACTCTCAAACTTAAAACAATTACACCTTTCATAATTACATAGCTCCTAGTAGGTATTCAAAAAGCGCGTCATTTTGAACATTAAAATCTACATTCGTAGCCTCACGCGTACAAAATGAGTCAGTTAGGACCATTACGTACATAGCCTCAGGCTTCCAAAAAACACAAACAAACAAAATCATTAATTATGATACAAGGTTTTCGTATTACCCACACAGTCCAAACCTTAGAGTACGACCCCTCACCACTAGTAGTAGGGGATCGTATACAAGTACTACTACAGCAATTACTTTCAGAAAATTTTTTTAGCCTTCTTATCAAAGAGGTTGAACTGAATAGGGGTTTCATGGTGTCGATTGTCTAATTGTTTTCGGTAATCACTTCTTGGATTCAAACCTCAGTGCGCGATTGGTAACGCAAACACTATTTTCTACCGCGGTGCAGCATTTGGAAAAGCGTTGCGTTTTGAATTATATATAGCACGCAGTCAGTAAAATAATATAGGAGTTTTTTTGCAGTTTGGAATGGCATGTATTCCATGCATATTCATTGTCACAATGAAACAGTAAGCACGTTCACCTTGAAGCGAACAATTACGAGAGAAATAATTAGAAGAAAAGTTCAGATATATAAACTTGCGAGGACAAGTGGAATTTAAAAGCATCATGGTACTCTCAATTGAAAGATGGGTTGGCAAAGTAGCCATAGTGACCGGTGCGAGCTCGGGTGTCGGAGCGGAAGTGGTAAAAAGTCTACTTAAGGAAAACATAATCGTACGTATCGCTCAATGGTTGTAGTTTGTAACTTGGTCTAATAGGTCGTAGGTTTGGCACGACGAACAGAGAAGATAAGGGAATTGAGCTCATCTAAAAACCTCCATGCGGTAAAAGTTGATCTCAGCGTCGAAGATGATATTCTTCGCGCATTTAAGTGGGTCAAAGAAAATTTGGGTCCAATTCATATTTTAATAAACTGCGCCGGCATTCTTCGACTGACTGATTATCTGGAAGGTGACACTAAAATGTGGAAGGACATGATGGATGTAAACTACCATGCGGTGTGCATTACCACAAGGGAGGCCGTCAAAGATATGCGAGCAAATGGCGTTAACGGACATATCATTCATATTAACGATGTCGGTGGCTATAAAGTTTTGGACATAAAACACTTAAACGTCTACTGCGCCACCAAGTTTCCAGTAACTGCGGCAGTCGAAGGGCTCAGACTTGAGTTGAACGCTATCGGCAGTAAAATTAAGGTTTCAGTAAGTACTTACACCCACCAAAGAAGCAGTTTAAATCAAATTTTACTCATAGTGTATCAATCCGGGGTATGTCAAAACGGATCTGTTCAAAAATGCCATAATTGCCGACTCATCATTGCAAAATTTTGCTGACGAGTTTGAAAATGAAAATCCGGCATTAGAGCCATCGGACATTGCCGATGGTATTATCTATTTACTTTCCACAGCAGAAAATGTCCAGGTAACGCTAAACTTCAGCCTCGCAGTATTAAACAGTGTTTTAGGTACGAGAACTGACTATCAAGCCAATTGGCGAGGAATTCTAATGCATAACTTTGAATTTAGCGAATTACGTAACTGAAAGATTATATGACCATCGTGATTGACAACAAAATAGAAATTTTGAAGGTTGCGTCTAAGTAGTACTTGTACCAAAAGTGTTCTTTAGAATGATAAATTGTTAGTAATAATAACGTTTTTTTTTACATCTCATTTTCAAGTATTCAGTATTATATAACCGTATTTAAAGTAAACATCCTGGATATTAAGAATCATTTTTTATGCAGCTTTCCAAACGAGAAAGTTTAGTCATAATGGATCATCTGGTCGCCGGTACGTTGGTCAAAGTATTTTTCTCCAGAGAGACTACTGGCCGCCGCGAGTCTCTAGTCACGGATTCCCGGTTATTGGGATTTTATTATGAAAAAGGATTTACGGTGAGATTTAAAGAATTCCTCTACTTTTCGTAACAAGAAATTATTAAGGTTTCTTTTGTGTACATTTCCGACAAATTTTATTGCACGATAAAATAATGTTAGGCAGGACCTTTACTTATAATCCTTTCGAGATAATACACTAACATATGTATAAACCCATCCAAAAATTAAACTCCTTCACACAGCAAAGTACTTCTATTGTGCTTCTACTCTCACAGTCTTTGCCCTTCTGTTTCGGAAATATTTAGAAAAATAAAATGACGGCCAAGTGAACGCTTAGCGCCCCAAAATATCAAAATATTTGGGTTGGAAAAGAGGTATTTAAGACGGGAGAAATACTATGTAAGATCCCAGTTCATTTAACCCCCAATTTACACAAGCGACTCGACAGCCACTCATTTTTGAAGGCCCGTTACAAGAAAGTTTAATTTTTCTAGTAGGGAGCCCACGACGCTAAATGGGGATTTACTCAACCGTAGTAAGGACGTATTGAACTTGGATTGTACAAAGAAATATGGTGTTATAAAATGATGTATATTGTGCATCCCTCCGTCGGTGTGGGGCGCGTTTACACTTTTTTTAATATTAATGTACAAAAAAAGTCACGAAATACTCAAGCGCGTCAGATATTGATAGTGTACATGTCCCACGTGTCTCCAACATTGGAGGTATATTAATCTCCCGGTTTGCAAGGTGGGGGGAGGCTGTACGGAAGGTTAGAAAACTGGATTTATTCGAGAGCATCAGATATTTAGAGCGTTGTATAAATGACACGACCGTCTATGATCTCAGTCAACTGACATGCTTCAACTGCTGAACTTTATTGACGTTTTATTTCACTTTGGAATTTGGAAATCGGCAGACTATATTACTTCTGTTATTCTTGAACAATTTCCTTCGAAATAAAAAAAATTCCAACGCACTCGAGGATGTAGAGGTAACTTAAAACTTTTGGACCCAAAGTTGGTATTTTTTTAATGCAACACCCTGTATATCCCAACGTCAGTTTTATTTGCATTCCTTTTCCTGATTACAACAATGTATCACAACTTATATTTTTAGCGTAACACAAGTGCTCGATTTTCCGTCGTCTGGCTGACTGTCTGTTTGTTTGACTGTCTGTCTGGGCCACCTAGAGACTTCGAGTTCTGGCTAATTGATAGCTGCTACGGTCTATATTTTATTTGCCCGTTTACTCATCATTTACAGTTGTGTTACGCCGTAACACCAACGAGTGTAGTTTTGAAACATTTTTTTTTAAATTTTAGCTATGAGCAAGAAATAAAAACCTTATTTTTTCCGGTTTTTAAATAGTGGGCCATAATTACAACCTTCCTTTTTTACCAAAAATCGACTGCACCAAAATTTCTCGGGAAAACACTTTTTCTTATTAATTTTGGTGCGTAGAATCCAAAACAATTTAGTACTTTTTCGATCAGACTTCTCAATCCAAAGTTATAGACTAGAAACCAATTTCGAAAGAAAATTCAAAGGGCAGTAACTTTTGAACTAGTAGCCCAATTTTTGAACTGTTTGAAATTATGGATTCTACAGGCCACATTCTATAAGAAAATTTTTTTTCCGGATCGATCTGAGAGAATTTTTTTTCGGGCCTCAAGAAAAGGAAGGTTACAACCTTCCTTTTTTACCAAAAATCGACTGCACCAAAATTTCTCGTGAAACACTTTTTCTTATTAATTTTGGTGCGTAGAATCCAAAACAATTCGTACTTTTTCAATCAGACTTCTCAATCCAAAGATATAGACTAGAAACCAATTTCGAAAGAAAATTCAAAGGGCTGCTACTTTTGAACTAGTAGCCCAATCTTTAACTGTTTGAAATTATGGATTCTACAGGCCACATTCTATAAGAAAATTTTTTTTCCGGATCGATCTGAGAGAATTTTTTTTTCGGGCTTTAATTTTCGAGTAATGTCATGGTATTAACGAGTTTTGTATTACATTTTTTCCGAAATCGACTTCCACCATATAAAACCTTTTATTAATATTAATGTAATGTCAGTTTTTACAGGAGTCTAAAATTTCCTGATAAAGTATGCATGAAAATGAAAGTTTCATGGCGATTTCGGGAAAAATATTTTTGGTGCCTTGTTTGAGTTTTTTTACCGGTTCCACAAGCGATGCACATAAAAGTATAAACTCCCCATTTAAATAATTATACATTTTTATTTTCTTGTTTATACGAGTACATAAGAGTGCGTATGGTATAAGAGCTAGGTAATTTTAGTGATATAGCAACTATTTTTAGCGCTTTTTTTAAGAATTATAAAAAAATGTGCTATTGTTTGCGTTTTGTCCGTTCGTCTGTTTGTCTGTCCGTCTGTCTGTCCGTCCGGATCCACTTCTGCGGTTTTGAACTACTTTTAGGGGAATCGTCCTAGAATTTGCAATAGATAGCCTATACGTTGAGGGTGAGCCAGAGGGCCATCAAATTCGTATTTTGCATAAGGAAGTGGGTTTAAACGAACTGATTTTCTGAATTTGGGTGTAAACGCTTCAGACTGTTTAACAGGAATCCGACTGATTTCAAAAGAGGAATCATCATCATAGATGAGGTTTCGAAGACCATTTAAAAAGGTGAAGGTATCGAACGAGAGTGATTGTCTTGAATAGAAAGTGTTGAAAAAAAAAAACATTAAAATTCGTTAGATCAAGGTTTTAGTGTGTCAAATAAATAGATTTGATTGTTGACTGTTATAAAAAACTGTACGTTTATTTTTTATTAAAAATCGTCTTGAATATCTCATCGTCTCTCGTCGTCTCGATTTTTTCAACATGGTAGCAGAGCGTGGTTCCCTATAAAAGAAGTTGGACATTGAATTTCTTTTTGGAATGGAACTTCAAGTACATGGGATCAAGAAACTCAGAGGAACGGAAAACTGGATTCTTTGGAAGTTTGCAGTGAAAAGTTTACTTCGAGGAATAGATGGAGCATATGAGGTATGCATCGGCGAAATTGGGAAGCCAGCTCCTTTGAGAGAGGAAGCAGGAGACGCCGATCGAGCTGAATATAAGGCCAGCTTAAAGCTTGGGATAAGGCGGATCGCGCAGCGAGTCAGCTGATTGTAAAAAACAATCGATTCTAAGGTATTAGCGTTGCTGGTTGCGTGTGAAACAGCACAAGAAATGTGGTTGAAACTACATTCAGTTTACCAACAGCAGACCAAGCAAGCTGCACATATTGTACAGTCAGAGTTTTTTGTATTTCAAAAAAAACCAGTTGATGACATGGTACATCATATTGCCAAATTTGAACAATTAATTTTGCAGATGCAGCAATTAAATGTAAAACCAGACGAGTCATCAATTGTTGTTAAATTACTAGATTCACTTCCTGATGAATTTGAAAGTTTACGACAAGCTTGGTGGGCAAGGTCAGAAAACCAGCAAACTTTCAACAATCTAGTGGAACTTTTGACAACGGAAGACAAGCGACAAATACAGCGAATTGAAAAACAAGATGAGTTAGTTGCACTTATGGCTAGTAAGAAAAACCATAGTAAAAGTTATAACTACAGTACATCTGGTGAGTCTTCACGTAGAAATGTTAAGAAATTTGATATTTCTAAGGTACGATGCCACCGATGCAATGTTTTAGGCCATCTTCGAAATAATTGTCCAAAGAAAACCGAAAATAAGAAAACTCCAGCGGAAAATTTTTCAAAAACTGAAGCATTTGTTGGAGAAGTTCTTAGTGCTGAAGAAAATGATGTCTGGATTGTTGATTCTGGAGCAACGGATCATATCACACATCGCAAGGAATGTTTTTCTTCATTTGAATTATTTGAAGAACCTGTTAAGATTTACATTGGGGACAAGTCTACGATGAATGCGCTAGGCAAAGGAACTATACAGTTTGATGCGCTAGTCAATGGAATATGGAACGCATGTCATATGGAAAACGTGTTGTATGTACCAACAGCACGAAGAAATCTTTTTTCTGTGACGTCTGCTTTGGACAAGGGAATGTCATTTAGCTCAACTAACAAAGAGTGTACATTTTCAAAAGGAGGAGTTACAAAAGCTTGTGGTGTAAGAATTGGACAGTTGTTCAAAATGATCATCTGCATAAAGCCACCAAAAATTCCAATGGTAAGTGAAGCAAATATTTCATCTAAAGAGACGTTGCAGATATGGCATGAAAAATTGGGCCATCAAAACAAGTGTCACGTGAAACAGTTGCTAAAGAAGCACAAAATTGAATTCATTGAGGGTGACGATTTTTGCGGAGCTTGTGTTGAAGGCAAGCAGCATCGTAGTAATTTTTTGAAACGTCAGCAACGTGCAACCGAACCAGGAGAAGTAATAGCAGCTGATATTTGCGGTCCCATGGAATGCCTTTCATTAGGAGGATCAAAATATTTTTTGTGTTTTACTTGCGACTATTCGAAAATGCGTATTGTTTATTTTCTCAAAGAAAAATCCGAGACTGTAAGAAAAATTGCTGAGATGTTGAAAGTTGTGAAGAATCAACTTGGGAGAGCAGTAAAAATTTTTCAATGCGGCGGTGGTTTGGAGTTCGATAACGCTGAAGTGCGGAAACTTATGATGGAGAATGGTATAATATTGTCGGTTACGAATCCATATAGTCCAGAACAAAATGGTTGTGCAGAGAGGACAAACAGGACTGTCGTTGAACTTGCCCGGACAATGCTTCTTGCCAAGAATTTACCGAAACAGTTGTGGGCTGAGGCTGTAAATGCATCTATTTATATTCTAAATCGTACTGGACAGAGTAGTATTCCTGGACAAACACCTTATGAATTGTTTGTTGGTAAGAATATCCACTTAAATAATTTTCACATTTTTGGTACAGAATGCTATGTACATGTACCAAATGTAAAGCGAAAGATATGGGATAAAAAAGGAAAACGTGGAATTTTTGTTGGGTATTCTGATAACGTGGACGGATTTCGGATTTGGTTCAAATCAAAAAAACAAAATTGAACGCAGCAAAAATGTAGTTTTTGGGCCGGAATTGACTGGAAGATTGTTAACTTTATTTCCAAATGAAAATCATAGTCATGGTAACAGTCACGAAAGAAATGAAGTAGTACCACTTCCGGTAGATGTACCCGTTAATCAGGTTGACGATATAATACCTCTAACAGAATTTGCGGAAGATATAGATGATGTTGACGAACAAAGACAATTGCGTGATCGTACAACATTAAAAGCGCCAGAGCGATTGCTAGACATTATGATGGCTGAAATAGAAGAACCAAAATGTTATTCTGAAGCAATACAAACTGCAGAACAGAGACACTGGAATAAAGCAATGAAAGAGGAATTGGACTCGCTTGAAGAAAATCAAACTTGGGAATTGGTTGACTTACCGAAAGGTAAAAAAACCATCTCAAATCGTTGGGTTTACAAGATCAAGCGAAATTGTACTGGAGAAATTGCTCGGTATAAAGCACGATTGGTTGTTCGTGGTTTCAATCAGAGAGAGGGCATTGATTATGAAGAAACATTCAGTCCAGTGGTACGTTTTGATACTATTCGAATTTTTTTGAGTATTGCAGCAAAGGAACGGTTAAAATTAGCTCAATTTGACGTAAAAACTGCTTTCTTATATGGATTCATTGATAAAGAAATTTATATGCAGCAACCTGAAGGTTATGAGGATGGTAGTCAACAAGTTTGCAAATTAAGAAAAGGTCTCTACGGTTTAAAACAGTCACCAAGATGTTGGAACAAACGTTTCAAGGATGTTCTAATTTCTTTTGGATTACAAGAGAGCAAAGCCGATTCATGTTTATATTTTCGTCTAAATGAAAATGATAAGTTGTTGGTTATTCTTTATGTTGACGATGGTCTTGTTGCTGCCACGAAACAAGAAATCATTGAAGATTTCTTGGAAAAATTGAAGGAAGAATTTAAAATAACTATTGATAAAGTTGTTGGAAGTTTCCTGAATATACAAATTGATCGTTTCGATGATGGGTCAATTTTTATAAGCCAAAGAAATTACACTAAAGGACTTCTTCGGAAATATAACATGACTGATGCAAATCCTGTATCGATTCCTATTGAACGATGTCAACTGACAGGGGAAGTACTAAATACTGAACGAACTAATGCCCCTTACCGAGAAGCGGTAGGTAGTTTATTGTATTTGACAGTAGCTACACGACCTGACATTGCCTTTGCTGTGAATTATATTTCGCAATTTGTAGAAAACCCTCAAGAGCAGCATTGGACAATGGTAAAGAGAATTTTAAGGTATTTGAAAGGTACTATTAATTTTGGTATTTGCTATACTGTTACTGGAAATTTTCAAGAATTAGAGTCCTACTGTGATGCCGATTATGCAAGTGACCCTAATACGCGTCGCTCAGTAAGTGGAGTATTTTTCAAGTTCTGCGGTGGTGCTATTGTATGGACAAGTAGAAGACAACAAAGTGTTTCATTATCGACGACAGAAGCGGAATATGTAGCTGCCAGTGAGGCTGCTAAAGACGCTGTTTGGTTGAGTCGCTTATTTAATGAAATTTCTCCGCACTATTTGATGTACCAACTCTTCTGATAGATAATGCAAGCGCTATAAAACTTGCTAAAAATCCAAGTTTTCATAAGCGCTCTAAGCATATTGATGTTAGGGCACATTTTATTCGAGAAAGAGTGCAAAATTGTCAAATGAAGATTGAACATGTATCTAGTAAAAAACAATTGGCAGATATTTTAACAAAACCAATTGCAAGACCCCGTTTTCAAGAACTTCGAACCAAAATTGGAATGATTGAAGTTGAAATTGGTTAGAAGTTATGTTAGGTATATCTGTTATTTGTTACAAGAATTTTGTGTTTTAGGGGAAGTGTTGAAAAAAAAAAACATTAAAATTCGTTAGATCAAGGTTTTAGTGTGTCAAATAAATAGATTTGATTGTTGACTGTTATAAAAAACTGTACGTTTATTTTTTATTAAAAATCGTCTTGAATATCTCATCGTCTCTCGTCGTCTCGATTTTTTCAACAGAAAGAATCGCGTTTGGAAAATGGAAAGCAGAAAATGGTTTAGAAAATAGTATTGCGTTACCATGACAATGCTTCAAGTGCAATTGCTCAATGCTCACTGAGTTTCGCCATATTATTTTGTTTTGGCATCTCTGTGTTCATAGTAATTCCGGACAAATTTGTTTACATACAATTATTTCTTAACTCTATATAAGATGAAGGTTAGCCATAATGCAATTTAGAACACGCTAGGCTACGTTACACAAGCCATTAAAGGTCACACAGTAGATAATAGGCCAATTGAGATAGCGTGATATACAAATTAAACGCGAGGGAATCTGAACATTGTTTTGCTTAGAAGCCGTTAAGTGTTTGCCATGGTACTGTCTTTAGATCGATGGATTGGAAAAGTTGCCGTTGTGACTGGGGCAAGTTCCGGTATGGGCGCCGCCATTACAAAGCGTTTGTTACGGGAGAACATTATTGTAAGATATCGGCCGGACGGTACAGTACTCCCAAAAGTTGTTTCAGGTTGTTGGTTTTGCACGTCGAAATGAGGAAATCAAGCAGTTGAGTACCTCCGATAACCTGCACGCGTTACAGGTCGACGTGACTAAAGAAGATCAGGTTGTAGGAGCGTTCAAGTGGGTAAAAGAGCATTTGGGACCGATTCATATTTTGGTTAATTGCGCGGGTATAGTTCGTTTGACTAATTATTTAGATGGTAGCGTGGAGATGTGGAGGGATATGATGGAGACCAACTATATCGGATTGTGTATCGCCACGAGGGAAGCTGTGAAGGATATGCGTGCGAATAATGTAGATGGGCATATCATTCACATGAACGACATTGCCGGGTACAAAATGATTGGCGTGGAACATTTGAATGTGTACTGCGCGTCGAAGTATCCAGTGACCGCCGCAGTTGAAGGGCTAAGGGTTGAATTGAACGGCATAAAAAGCAAAATTAAAGTTTCTGTAAGTGGACTTTGAATAAATGGTAATAAACCGAGCTTGTTTGTAGAGTATAAGTCCTGGATATGTTAGCACACCAATTTTTGATGCAACCCTGCGGATCCAACCGGAAATGGCAGATTTTGTGAACTCGTTCGATGAAGCTACCGTCTCTCTTGATACTGAAGATATTGCCGATACTGTCGCTTACTTGTTATCAACACCTCCACATGTTCAGGTAACTACTTTCAGATGCCATCGTTTTAATTGACGGATCCGTTTAGGTTCACGACATCACCATTAGACCCATAGGTCAAGATTTTTAAGGATACATTTATCTATGTAGAATGCAGAGCAATAAAAATAGATTATATTAAATTAAATACGATGGCAAGTTGGTTTCTATGTCAACCAGCGAATATTATCAACTATTATCATCATCAAAAGAGCCGAAAATTTGTTTTGCTGTGTGGAAGTATAATTAATTGCATTCTTTACAGAAATTTCCTATTTATATGTTTCCTTCACTGACGTTGGCAATAATTGGATGAAAAACGCCGTACACGAAAATCTTATGATATAAGAAAAGGATACCCCCTAGACCCCTCGGTTCTATATTCTCCCCCAGAATATTTAGTGCTTTTAGCACTTACAATCATACCACCCCAGTATACGAAAATCTTATGATAGTTAGAAAAGCAATTTCCTGGGGGGTTATTGTCTGGGAGGTATTTTATACCACCAGGCGCCCCCGGTTTTAGGTACATTCTCCCTTAAAATATTTACTGCTTTCAGCACTTACAGCATAATTTTTACAAAGAGACCATATCGAATGTCCTTAGGGGTGAACGTATTGTGGGAGAACGTAACACCAGGAGGTCTGGGGAGTACGGAATACCCCCCCCCCCCATACCATCCCAGTAAACGAAAATCTTATGATAGAAAATGAATGTTGAATCCTGGTTTCCTGACCTCCCGGTTCTACATACTCCTCCAAAATATTTAGTGCTTCAGGTTTGGATAAACTATAACACAAATTTCAAACAGTATATCGATACATTTAAAAACAGCATCTCAGGAAATAATTCATGGAGGCACCTCATTTCCGGCGAATTGCATCTGAATATTCGACTCAAAGTAATAAAATAATCCCCAAAGCTATTTTCCCCGAAAGGGTCATCTCTCGAAGTTTCGCCCTCAAAGAAATCCTTACCGGGAATTTGCCCCAAAGCAAAATATTTTTGAAGCTAGTTGCTTGAGAGGAGGTATCGATGTTTAATTGGGGGTCAGTTTTCTCGAGGCCGAATACTCTGATCAATATTTGAAAAGTATACGTGTGTAGAGATATTCCTAATGAGTTTGATGAAAATGGGTTCTCACTCAAAATGGGGAACAGTCAGTGAATAGAATTCGTTAGGCGATTTCAATGTGGGGATCAAGCACGCGTAATTTTGTGTTGTTAGTTGTTTTGTGCCTTAATTCCCCGTGTAGGAGCGAGAATACTCCTACCGCAGAGATGCTGCGTGTCGTAGTCGACTAATCAACGGGGGAAAAGGGTTCCAGCCAGGAGGATTGATACTGGAGTATCAGAGGCTGGATGTCACTCGATTTTTTATATATATATTTTTTAAATTTTGTTTATCCACTTTGAAAACGTTGGGCACGTTTCCTTTTCCTAGCTTCCCATAGTTTTTATTAATATTTTTACGGAAACCTTTTGAATTATTTGAGTTTCTTAGAAATTTTTGAATGATATACTAAATTTTCCTTTAGAAGGTAAACGAAACAGACCCACTATTTTTTAGATTTGTATAAATAAGATCTTGACATTACGTGGCAACTGTTCCAATTTCACTTTCGAATTTTACAACTTTGAATTTTTACACATTAAAATGGAAAAAACAAATTTGAAAGTACACTCTTCGCCTCTTGCTCACAAGCGGCTTAACGAATTTTTTAAATCATAATTTCACTTTCTTTTAAAATATGCAAAAGTGTTCAGGCTTTTCTATTTAAAAATATGCTACTTTGTTGCTGAATAACTTGACTATAATGCGCTTAGTCGTGTTTCTGAAATTGTAATCCTGGGAAAAATGCTCTCCCTATCTTCTTCCCACAGATATTAACATCTGTGCTTTTACCTTGTAGACTGTATAAGGTGTTCCATATCCCTTTCATGAACTTGGGTGTTTCTAATATGTTATTTTCTAGTCAGAATAATTTGGTCTTTCGTGTTTCGTTTCGAATTTCGATTGCACATTCTAATTGTTGTTAATGGATGGTTAATTTACTATTATCTATCTACTGGCGTTGACTAATGGACTATCATGACCGAAAAATTAAGAAAAATTAATAATAATAATAATAATAAAATAATAAAAATATAGCAATTCTTTTGCATAATACAATTATGTGCGCATAATCAAATTTATTATTTCGATTGTACTTTCCGTCAGAAAAGAAAAGTACCTACACGTATTATAGCACCCCAAAGAGGGATCGATTAAAATATGACGGCGAATTCGTGTCTGCCATCTACCTACTTGATGGCCAAACAATAAAAGTTTGCACACAGGATTTGATTGTGACTTTCAACTGCAACAGCGTTCTTTAATCAAATTTTGTTGTTGTCCTGCTAATTTTCAATCTACTACCCCGTATTGCGATAGGGGTTTAAATTTACACTTCTACTTTTTTGCAGATGGCGATCATAGTTCTACGATTTACAAATATGGAAAAGACATTGAACAGTAAAATATATCATCTCCTACTCCATTAGATGATTTCAAATTTTACTTTTTTGTTACGTAGTTGCTAAAATTATACGGTAACGTCGATAGATCTTAATATTAACAAAAAAAAACCGAGTTAAGTTGTTGCTATTGTAACGTTCACACTTTCAAAAGAAGCTTTAAACGAATTTATTTATATTTATTTAAACTACGTCAAACGCAAGTGCATTGTGTTCCTTCTGCAAAGGAGAGCGAATTGGTATTTGCATCGCGATCGAAATTGTCGCTTATTTATTTAATTAGCGTATGGCTTGCATTAGGTAAAACGAGTAACGTAATTAACAAAGTAACATAAAGGCGAATATAGGAAATTTTTCTTAAATGGCTATGTATACAGTGATATTTATTAAGAAGTAGACATAGGGATTCACGTGTATTGATTTCTCTATGTCTACTTTTAAATGACAAAATCCCTTCTGAATTTTATGCATCTAAAATAACTTCTTCAAACAAATCAAGATCTGGCTGTCATATTTATTAATTTGGATATTGTTTCTTTGGCATCCGAATTTTAATTTTCTTTCGTAAGCGATGTGTTTACCTGAAGACAAAGTTGACGTTGCCAATTAGTATAGTGCCGGTAACAGTTTTAGGAGCCTAAAGAGATTTTTTTCTGTGAAGCTAAAGCAAAATATTTAATTTAATTAATATGACAGCCATATCTTTATTTGTTTAAAGAAGTTATTTTGGTTGGATAAAATTAGGGTTAAATTCTGTGCCTACTACTTCAAAAATTAATTTTTTCACGTTACCCTGAATTTATTATCTGTTTGTTCCACCTAAATTCACAGCGGATAACACAATAATAATTAATTTATTTAACGTAGTAATTCATCAGTTACCTTTAGCCTTTAGTATTTAGCTTGATGATCTTCAACACTATTTGACTTGATCAAGCCACGTGATTGGTAAAGGTTAATAATTTGAACTAAACTACCCCATCTACTGCAAATTTCATATTCGTAGTGCATACCTAAAAGTTGATAAGAATAAAATTTAAATGATAGATACTTAAACATCAAAAGTGCTTAATTGTGCTCTTCCTAATGATCCAAAAAATTAATGTTTAATCATTGACCCAAAAAGTGTGAAACTGTTTGTTAAGCAATTAGTCATCCTGCAGCTGAAAATTAGAAAAATAGTTCATAATTCCATTCTAAAACGGAGCAGAACGATAGGGTCATAATTTCTGTAAAAATTGTTTATTAAGAAATGTTGTAACTAATTAGTATCTGTACCCTTAAGTAAGTTACTGGATTTCCTACACCGTTTCGTGTCTAATTAAATGCGATGTTTAATAATCACGTCTCTCCATGATTCTAAATTATGTAGTTATGTAAGTTTGCTAATTATCACTAATTACAACCTGCCATATTAGACAATGTGTCAACTAAAATTATGCAACAACAAGTGAATCTTATATTTTAATGCAGAATTGCGGGACTCCATGGCTCTTCGTTGGGTAGGTACGGCTTTCGGTAGATTGGTATTCGTGGAACTATACGGGGGTATGATCTATTTGAGGTTCATTTACTACATGTAAATTCAACAAAACGTCATTTCTGTTTTGATTGTGATGTTCAGGTCTCGGTGATCGTTTTAGATGACCGAGAAAAATCGTCGTTATTTTTTGAAATTAAAAGAAACGTGATGTAACGAAATAACCCAAAAGATCTGTTTTTAAACATAGAATAGTAATGAGTAGGTACTTTAATTGGCAGTAAAACGCAGTTGCCAAAAATCTAAAGTGTAGTTACAGCTGCCATCGTTACTAAATAATTCATTGTAAATACGTAAACGTATAAGGGTTGTAAAAATATAGTATGCATAACCGTATCACACGAGCATTCAAGTGGGATTAAATAACATCAAGCTAGTCAACTTGATAAATGACCTATGGCCAGTGGATTAGTACGAGATATGACAATTTAATAAACTTGAAACGAATTCGAGTGCCTAACCTACCCCTATTTATTATACAAAATTTCACCATATAACCTGCTTTTAATTCAAGTCCGTACACTATTTCCTGTTCATTTCTGGTTTCAGTTCCTGAATTTCGAGATTTTCGTTTCGTAAATGCCAAACTTGACTTGTTAGGTAAAAAAGATGGCTTGTGCCGCACTAAATAGTTTTAAATAACTTGTTAGCCTTTTCTTCTGGACATTCCGGGCGCATGGGGTAGCTGTTGATTCGTAACGTATTTATTGCGCGTTGTGGGAACAATGTAATTATTTACGTCAGTAGATTTCAGTTCGAATTCAAAAATTTTTAACGTCCCGAAGTAAGTAAACCATACGAATGGTACTTGAACAACAATGGGAGTGTAATAGTACAATAGACGAAATCATCCCCTATTTCAATCATATCTTAAATCAGAGAGAATCTCACGGATTCTCTACCGGCATTTATCCGAAAGTAGAACGCATCCCCTATCGGATGTCATGCACGGTTATCTATCATTTTAGCCCCTATATAACACCATTCAGGGATGCAGAAACGTTATGCACCCTGATTTAAGACCTGCACGGGTCGCGTTACATGCACCTGATACAATTTTCAAATGGGGCGAAAGGCAATGCTATATTTTATTAAACGTGAGGTATATTGAGCTAGTATTAACGAAATTCTCGAAAACATTCTTTTTTATAGCCTATTTTTGTTCTGTGTATCAAATGCGCAACAAGTACAAGAATAATATCAACAAGACCTACCATAGGTCCTAATCACCACGGAGTTTTTCAATTTTTAATTTCATTTATTATCGTGTTTCGTACTCTACGGAGAATAACAACGGTTGACAAATACATATGTAAGAGTTTAAAACAAATTAATAAAAATGCATACAGCGGAATCGGTTTCCCAAAAGAGCTAACGGTTTCTTCTCATCTTAAATTCTCAACTCGACTGTAACATAATTATATTAAATGCAACATACTCGCGATTAACACTGCTGTTCATTTTCCTACCCCCAGACCTACCGGTTCTACATTCTTCTCCACGACGTATATTGCACATATTATTTAAACCATAATAATTTGTGGAAAATGACCATAAAATCTAACACCTTAAGTTCGCGTAGTATGAAATACTCGTCAGGAAAAGAGGATTCTATGGTCCTTTATGCAAAACTACCACAAAAGTCCTTAGTGCTGAATGTTTCATGGGAGACAGTAGCACCGGGGGATCTAGAGGGTATGGGCTATCTCCCAGTATACGAAGATCTTGTAATAGTTGTAGGGAAGAGAACATTTAATTCGATGCCTACCATGGAAAGACGTTTTATGTTCTTTTCCCTTGAACGTCCACAAGATCTTCGTATAGTGGAAGGTACTCCATACCCCCTAGACAACCCGGTTCTACATGTACAGTGCAAATACCATATAAACCCTAATTTTTGGGAAGGGGCCCGAACACCTTAAGTTCGCGAAGTATGGAATAATCGTCAAGAATAGTATATTAAGATACAAGTGTATAATCAAGTCTTTAAAGCACGCGCAACGAGTTTAAGGGCACGACGCAAAGCGGAGTGCCTTTAACGTTGCAAGTGCTTTAAAGGCCAATTATACACGTGTATCTTATAGTATTTTTTATTATACCTGCAGTATAATTTAAAAATAGGAAATACAATGAAATCATATTGACGTTATTCTCGAATACATAATCTAACTAAGTGGGCTTGGTGTTCGTCATTTCACGATTGCCATGGAAATCTCAATTGACGTTTGCTTATAAAAATTATCGTCTTTGTGAATAAAACGATTTGCGTTGAAAAATATAGTACACCGTCCATTAAATCGCTTGTTGTAAAATCTAAACAAACGTTGGTAGGTGTAAAATCCCAATCCAGTAAAGCCTATTATCAAGCATATGAAAAGTTGTTTCCATGGATGAATAGGAAGTTACCGAATAAAGTCTTAAATGCATCGATAATGCTGGCATATATGAAGGAAATGTCAAAGGTATTTAAATCATCTTTTGGTGCATTCATTCAAAACTTCAAACATTGCTGCGACTAAAAAGTGGAACAGATTTGGAAGCATGCCCTAAATTGAGCGCGTTTGTGGAAGCTTGAACCAAATGATAGGTACAAGCCAAAAGCAATGTTCTGCATTTATAGAAAGCGACCTAAGAGGATTTTTTATTTCAACCCCAGATGACAGTTTCAAAAGTCATACTTGAAGTATCATTACCTAGCAACTTTAAAGCACGTGTGTTTTAAAGGCCTTTTTTCGCACGCATTTGAGTGTTTTAAACGTAGATTGTGATTCAGGTATAATAAAAAAGAAGATTCTATAGTCTCTTATGCAAACCACAACAGTCCTTCGGGCTGAATGTTTCGCGGGAGACCGCAGCAGCGAGGAGTCTGGGGAGTATGGAATACCCCTCAGTATACCAAGATCGTGTATAGTTATAGGGAAGAGAACATTGAATCGATACCCCCCATGCAAGGACGTTTTATATTCTTTTCCCTTAAACTTTCACAAGATCTTCGTATACTGAGGGCCTGTTCTTCCTACATGGGTTTACTATTTATTAATTTATTTTTATTAATTGTCTTAATCGCTCTATTTGTAACCCAACAGCTTCACTCTCGGTAAAGTTGTCCATAAATTTTGGGTTATATCTCCTACACCACCTTTGATTCGAGTATCTGCGAAGTATTTTGAAGTTAATTATTATCAATTCACTCAGATACATTTCGCAGGTTTTGAACGTTCGGGCCAATCTCAAGTAAATGTTTGGACCATCTAATAGATTATAGCTTGCAATAATATTCTTGCTACTAGAAGGGACTAATGATTGTTGGGGAATCGCTGCTTTTTTTATAAATATTTTTATGTCGTTATGCTGGCGGGGTTACTGTTTCTCAGATTTTTCTGCTTTCTAGGTTGATTGAAGGTAGGTGTATACAGTATACTGCGCAGAATCCATTTTGAAATTGGTACGTAAATTCGAATTTTGTTATTTAAAACGTTTTCGAGTATGAGAATTTGATTAGATTAGATAAGCTTTGCGAAGAATCGTATAGGTACGTTTTTGTTTGTTTGCTTTCTTTTGGTACAGTATATTATAAAATGCCGTAGCTATCTATATGAAATAAAATTACGCGTAGGTACTATTTCGCAACAGAGTTTAGTTGGCGTTGAGTCGCCGTGATGATAACTTCATCTAAAAGTTTAGTGTGTAATTTCCAATAAGCAGCCAGCCCTGAAGTCTTTGAAGGTACAGAATCGCTTTAGTTTTAAATGTTTTAAAATGTTTAATACAGGATGCGTATTCCTACATGTTTCGGGATTTGAGATTTTTAAATTGACGGCACAGATGTATTTAATCCGTCTGCATATGACAGCGTTTCCCAACTTTTTTTAATCACGTACCTCAAATAAACACTCATACCCACCTAGCTCAAGGAAATATAAGTTTGAGATCTGTCTCAGTGGTAGTTCGTCCTGGGCATTTGATCTTCGTTCTTCGTTGCACTTACCAATGGTTGAGCACCACTCAATTTCTAACTTTTAACTCTCCTCGTATGAAATAGAGAACATATAACAGTAAAAATCAATTTAGTTACCACTAGAAGTATTGGTTTATTTTTAAAGATCAATATTTGTCTCTCCAATTGGATAGCGCGTAACACACAAAATACTCCAAAATACTTAAAATTATACGTTACGTTACTCACAAATCTTATTAACTTCACTACACAAGTAAAATTACCCAATTTCACAAACCCTCTATCAATCTTTCTTTCCAACATATTCCGGACAAAAATTCGCACGTATAAAGTATAAGTAAAACATATAAGGCAACGCTTACAATAATTTAAGTTGGATGTTGACGCCAAGAATGAGCTCAATTCTCGCATCCAAAACCTGCAAATCATCAAAAGAAAACCTCCCAAGCCGCAGAGCTCCGTATATAATTAATTGACTAGTGCCTGAAGGGCTTCGCTCTACTCGTAAGCTGTTTTTATAATAGGTACGGTAATTAATCGGTCAACCAATTCATAAAGAAGTGGCGGTCTACAATAATATTCGTTGTTCAAACTCGATCATAACTTGGCAAAGATATTATAAAGAGGTACTAATTTTAATAAATTACTTGAATATGCATTTAACCCGGAGGGGCAAAAAGTTATTAACTAATATGCTAAAGAGGAAGTTGTTTTTGTTGTTGAGGATCGATCCTTGATTTCAAATCTCGTTCATGATCTGTTGACCCAATTCACAGCAAATTGCCGCTTGTGATCAGTAGGTGGAAGATATGCCAAGAGCGTCGGCAATCGCAGACAAGTGGTTTCTCAAATTCGTATGTCGAACCAGAAATCGTATGTAACGTAACGTATCCGGAATTTATTAAGACTAAAATTAAAAACCCTAAAAGATATCAAAGGCAACCCCTCTTCGTTGATGTCCTAAAATGTACATACCTCTTAAATAAGAGGGCTAATTGTAGATGCAGCAGTAATTTTATTGTCGGTGGAAAAATTGTAGTACACAAATATCAGCGGGTACACTCCAATTACGGGAAATGCAAATGGCGGTACTACGATAAGAAAGAAAAAACGCAATTCAAATCTTCCTATTGATGAATCTATCGTAATTACTACGGAATCCCAATTTCATGAATGCAATCGCCAGATATTAATAAATATTGATGATGGCAATTAAAATTCCATGCGTTCTAACAAACGCTTGTAGTAAAACAAAATGTAACTGGATATGGTTCGCGACAGAAAGTAAGTGAAAGTGACAATTCATAACCACACGGCGGTAAAATTGCCTGGTTAAAATTCCAACAATAGATTGAAAAGTTACGAGGATCTTTCAACAAGTAAATAATACTTTGAACTACAATAATGCTTTGTAATGGAGAAAATAACTTTACATACAAAGGCAATCTTTATCAAGAAAGTAGTTTTAGAGTTCAAATTCCCTGTGCTTATGTTTACCTAACAGAACTTTACTTATAGAATCATTAACTTTGAAAAAGAAGGGGTCGATTGCAATTTTTTTGTAGACAAGTGTTTTCTCATTTCAGTCTAATGTCCACAAAGGTTCTTGCATTGCATTAAGCTTAAACTTAAAAATCAGAAGCGATATTCTTTTGTAAAATGGTTTCTATTTTTTTAATAATTTTTCCTTACTGTCCCATGATTTTCTTAGAGTATTCTATTTCCAGAACATTTTCTTAAAATACCACATTTCGTGAACTCGCTCATATTTCCTACAAATTACTCAGCTAAGTTCTTTCCCGCAATTTCCCGATAAGAAAAAAATTTTATTTCCTAATAATTGCAAACACCTTAATTTCCATGTCTGGACCTACCTATGATTTTTTCCAATTTTTACACGACACTGTATTAGGCTTATACATTGCCTTTGGTTCCCATGAAATGTCCTGTGTATTTCCCTAGGATTTTCTCTTACTTCATAAAAATTTCATCGTATTTTTCTGTGCAAGAGACAAGACTTTCCCCTTCGAATCCACCTATACATGCAAAAATTCTTGAAAACTGAGTTGCTGCTCTTGCATTGTAGATTTTTTTTGGTAAAAGGTTGTCTCCAATAGTCACTAATTAAGGGATTGTTTCTAATCTACATCTTAAATAGTATGTTTAATTGCAAATATGGTTATTAAAGTGTAATTATGTACGGTAGGTACGGCAGAGAGCAGATAGTGAACTTAATAAATTAAAATATACGTTAAATGAAAGGTATTAATTTCCCAGGTACTTCCCCTACGATCATAAACGCAATATAAAAAATTCCCTTCGGTCAAGTATAACAAGGAAATAAATAACAATAAGAAAACCTCGGAAGAAGTGGACAGTTAAGTACGTTCAAAATTTAAAGGGTATTACTATTAAGTAAGGTAGGTCAAGTTCGAAGGTGATTTTGTACCTGCGACCAGTGGTCAAACCCTGGGGTGGTCTCGATAACCCTTCCTTCCTTGCACGGTCAACGTAGACACTTTACATGATTTAAAGGTCGCTAAAAAGTGTTACATACGTTTTAAATTACAATTTGAATGGGCCGCCAGCCTGCCTACCGTTAAATTTGTATGTAAGTGAACATTTAATCATTTCGGTAGGGATGACCCTAACCTACGAAATCGTTCCGCCTTTAAAAAAAATGCGAACGTTATAAATTGTAACAGTATTTGTTCACCTCGCGCTAATAAATACCACACGTCATCCCCTCGCCGTAAAAATTCTTAGTTCTTTACATCTGGATTATGGATTTTGTAGTTACACTACATCTTGACCCTTATTAATTATCTTTGTGCAATCTTTTTGCGTGTTATCATCCACGCAAGTCTCTATTATCATTAGCTCGTTTGAGACTATCACATTCATACCCCAAAGGCACAGACTTTCTTAAATATACAATTAAAGTCACTTATTTATTATATAAGGAGATATAATGATATTTTAGCACGATAACCAATGTCATTAGATTCCTTTGCTTTTATTTTGCCCGCGCTTACCGTTAAAGCAGCGGTTTCGAAAGTTAGTAATAATCTCGCCTGTAAATGGAACACACTGTATACGATTATAAGTTCAACATTGAAATAATGGTTAAAATTAAACAATTGGAAACAAATTATAAAATAGTCTCCTATATGGCTCGAATATAACATAAGTCATCGTACGTAGTTCTGAATTCATTGTACCCAACTGTTCCACAATCAGTTTCCTCCTGTCCGTATGTGATCTATGGGAAGCAGACTTTCCGAAAATAAACTGGTTGGATTTTTTGTCTAAAAAAAAGGAGGTCTTGTCAAAAACTTTCCGAATTTTTTGGATATTTTGTCTAAAAAAATTTGGAAGATTCAAATCGTAGCTTCCAAATTGGTTGGATATTTTGTCGCTTTATTTGAATTTGAATAATTTGGCGATAAAAATTGGAAATCTTGACGAAAAAAATCCAAAACATTTATCGCTAAAAGGGTTGGAATTTGGATTTCTTATCGGTCCCGAGAAAATGGTCAAATGTAGTAGTGACGGATATTATGTCCTTTCACCCCATAACAGGAAGTTACGTCACGTCATTGCTGTCGTCAATTTCCAAGTTTGCATGCTATTATTTGTTTATTTTTGGGCGACGTAATTCCATGAGAATAAGGTGTTAATACAATTTGTATTCACTTTTCTATATACCTTCATACTTCAATAATATCTCCTGAGTAACGGTAATTGCTTAAATACCTAGAAAAATAAGATGCTTCCGAAACATCGCAGTTTAGTTGAACTCCTTCATTTTGATTTAACAATTAACGTAAAATTCGAAAGAGTGGTCCTTGTACTTACTAAAAAACTATTAAATTATTGTTTAAACAATGGTTAACTATTATTGTCGATGCATCAGGAATAACGTTATGATCCGTTTTTAGATCGAAAAAATCGGTCGCGCGAGTGAAAAGATCAGGATTTTCGGAAATTGGCCGTCATCTTCAATTCTGAACTTCCTGTTCAGATTTCGAGTTGCCAACATCGATATTCGTCTTCAGCAGGTACCAATTAGTAAAAAAAACCCTAGTTGGTCAAATGTTGTCTGAAATTCCCATAGGACTCTGAAAAGTGAACCAGTCTAAAACGGTACATTGGATCCTAAAAAAAGATTAAATTCCGATTATCGCTATTATTGGGAAAACAATGGGAAGATACTTCCTGAACCGAAATTGATTTGAAATGTTTTTGGAAATCTTGATAAGTTGGCCAATATATTTCGTGGGTGTGTACTTGCTGTTTCACAAAATTACAATGTAAGTTAAATAGGTCTACGATATTTTAAAATTGCAAAAACTTGCTCAATTTCAAAAAAGTTTACCAACAACTCACGATGGAAGCGACTCAAACCTCCACTCAACTCGCACTTCTAAAACTCTACAAATCGTATGGATCTCATCCTCACTGTACGCACTCAATCCCAATCCTTCCTTATCCGATCCACTTAAACTACCAAATAATTCAATTTATCAGTAAACAATATGCAATTATACATTTTTAAATAAATCGTGCATTATTTGGCATGCGATTTAGTCTAAATTTCCGACAATTCGCACAAAACGGAAATAGTAAAGATCAAACCCTGTACCTTATTGCCTTGGAATGTAGTCCATGCTGATACTAAATGCCTCACTGGGTAGGGTTTCTGTAGAGGACGCCTGCAGTCTGGATTCGATTGCACCGCTTATTTCTTCAAAGGCTCGATTTTCGTATCGATCAATCCAAGGCTTCATTCATACGCAAAACATAAGCAAAGTAAAATAATACGCTGCCTGTTTATACAATACGCTGCAACTTTTTGGTGCTCATTAATGAATGGAAAGTTTCGAAGTTATTGTGAAACTCAGTATTCGTGCATTCAATTTAGCACCTCGTTTAATTTACACGCGATACGCGCTTTGCATTCATTTTTTATGATTTCACATTCATGATTAATGGTGCAGATTAAACTCAAATCCCGCAGATATTATCACTTTATTTTTTGGTTTACCGCCGATTTAGTTTGCACTCTTCAATTTTACATTCGGGCTGGGACAAACTTTGGTAGTTCGCGTGTTAAGGTCTTGAAACGGTATGATTTTCGGTATTAAAATAAAATTTAATTTAACAGAAAAATGATTTATTTTGCTTAAAGTCGAACCAGCTTGTCAAAGCGGTGGCAACCTAGATCTGATGGTCGGCGGAACGGTACGGAAATCTTGAGCGCCATCAGGAGGTTTCGACCCTTGTTCCTAGTCGAGGGCGTCGGTTTCGGAACGGAAATTTGGAACCTACGAAAAACTCTAGAGATCTGGGGGGGAGGGGGGGGCAAATGGCGGTGGTCGCTGGCAAATACCTAAAACAAAATGACGGCACATGGACACGACAGCGACTACTTAGCGGTAACTGAAGCACAAATTAACTAACGGTACTTATTAGATACGGGAAAACTAACCAAGCACAACGAAACCCCTTCATTCTTATCGGAATGAAGATATCAAACGCTTCCCTTGAATTAATTACGCTATGTTCAAATGCAAAATTTACCAAAATTACACGAAGCCAAAACGGAGAAGCCGGTAAGATCTTCTAGCCGGCCGGGGTATTCGGTTGATTGCTGACCTACAAATCGGGGATTCATCTTGAAATTCGTGTTAATTAAGCGCGGTTCTTTTAACACTAGGTACAGACTAATTAAACGAAGTTGGCTGCAACACAATTAATTACTTACGATTAATTTATTATACTCACTTATTTGGCCGGATTAAAATTTCCAAACTCGGCAGTCGAGTAATGTCGATTGTTACATGGAATTTCGGGTGAAGCGATAATGAAATAAACTGGACGCCCTTGTTGATTTATTGAAGTTTTTCGCTTCACATTTGGAAACTAGAATTGATTAATAATGATCCGTAGAAGTATTATGGACATTAAAAATGTTTCCCAATGAGCAATCCAGATTTTTTACAAATCTTTTTTATCAGTATAATCAATGATAAACATTATCCTACTTTTCACAGCAAAAAACGCTAAAATGCATATTTATTATAAATCTCATGGATAATAAACCTTTTTATAACATTGACATTTTAAACTGTTTCTGAGGTTCATTTAATCTTGATACCTCAGCCTTGAGAAACATTTTTTTTCCTGCAGAGATATCAATAAAAGACGATTTCAGATCAAATAAGCTTCAGTGATATAAACATCTTAAGATAACACGGTGTTTTATGGTTGGGCAATTAAAACCTCGCCTCCTTCGGTCGCACGGATTTAGAATTTGCATTGTCCTATAAAACACCTAGTTATCTTAATACCTAGCTATTTACTGTAATATAAAATGTAAAGAATGTTGATTATTCTTGAGTATGCAAATATATTAAGATAATTGTTAAGCAGGTACCTTTCTTAATTTCAAACACACCAATTTATCCTCACAAATCACTCTTGGAACTATGCAGTTTACTATTTTCGACAGAGGATAGCTTTTTTTGGTTTTTTAAGAAATCGTGGCTATTTTTTCCGTTTACTTTCCGTATCGTTATCATACCAGATATTGACGATTTTTTTCTTCATATTGTTCAGTATGCAAAAAATCAAAATGAAACTTAGTGTTATATAATATCTCCTCCTATACTTCCGTCATCTGCTAAAAAAATCCCAACATTGACCTAAATTTCTTAATTTGGGAGACTCGCGAAACATCCGCAAATAGAAACTATCTGGGGCGCACTTTCGAATAAACACACAATTAATTGATTGACAATGACAAACATTTATTCCGAAACGCATGAATCCTCAAAATCCCTAAAAGAAAGAAAAGTTTACTAAGTCCGTTTGGACATATTACCCCGAACTCAGGCGGTCGACAAGAAAAATAATCTTAAATCACTTACCTACAGTTTTTAAAAATTAATAATCCAAATAATCTGCCAGTAAAAGGTTTGCGATGTTAGGCGCACTTATCTCTCACACAAATGCTGACAGCTTCTGTACTTCGCTTTATAACACATAATTAGATGACACACAAAACTGACTTGATGAATAAGATGACAAATTTGATGTTGCTGTGCGGACTGAAACTTTTAATAAGAATTAATAATCTTAAGGAAAGGTCTCGCTATACAACTGATGCTTACTTTTTCAATACGACGGAAATTTTTCCGAAATCGAGCAACACTAACACGTTAATCTTATTGTGTAACTTTGGTTAACTTGGTTCTGCACAAATTTATTATAAAAATCACGAATTGCGTCTTAACCTAAACAAATTGAGCTGACTGCTCGAAAATTTAGCGTAAAAAATTTCCACGCTCTTCTTGATAAATAAGTCTGTATTCAAAATTTTTCATGTCGTTTTCGACTTCTTCAGACAGAAATTAGTGACAAACCACACTGCGACGATAAGTTTGATTCACTCCTATTTTTCAAAAGGAGTTGTAATACACTTACTATACCTTATGCTTATTATTTTTCAAAGAATATTCCAAATCCGAAGCCAAGTCGTGGTGTAAATCCGTAACAAATTTGGTCCATAAAAAAATTAGTGTTAAACGGAGATCATTTTAGCCAATTTGGAAAAAGGTTTCACTCATACACAGCTCAGTTAATTTAATCAAATCGTTACCTTCGGCATCTTCCAAACCTTTGTTTTTGACTATTTTGTCCTGATTTAATGAATATTCTATGCATCCCTTATTTAGATAGATGGTTTACCTTCCAAGTTCTAGAAATCTACCATAAGAAAACTTGCTATTGTGTTCTAGGCATAAACTGTGCTGATCTTCAGCTTTTCAATTTCAGGAGCTTGGTGGCCTTTTGTAAAAAAAAAGTTAAAGAAAAGAAGCTTCACTTCGGGCAAATTCTTAAATTAGTCAGTGATAACTCAGGTATGTAACAGGTGGCCGCTTGCCGTTTCAAAAATTTGTTTTTCAATTTGTATTTTGTTCATTTATTCATTTTCATTTGTAAATAACAATTGGGTACACAATAAATTTACACGTCAACAAACAAACATAGAAATGTATCTACATCTACAATGCTGTTTATGAAGAAGTGGACATAGGGATTTACGTATATTGTACGTTTTTCCCTATGCCTACTTTTAAATGACAAAATCTCATCTGAAGGGCGCCTAATTTTATGCGACTAAAATAACTTCATAAAACAAATAAAGATCTGGCTGTTTGTCGTTTTGGCTTCCGTATTTTTATTCGCGTTCGTGTCAGATGTATTCAACTGAAGAAAACGTTGATATTGTCAATTGGTATAGTGGCGGTATCAGTTTAAGAAGCGTAAAAGATTTATTTTTTGGGAAGCCAAAGCAACAATATTCAAATTAATTAATATGACAGCCAGATTTTTGTTTGTTAAGAAGTAATTTTGGTTGCATATAATTAGGCACCCTTCAGAAGAGATTTTGTCACTTAAGAGTTGACATAGGGAAAAATAATAAATGTAAATCCCCATGTCTACTTGTTAATAAATCGCACTGTATACTTACTTTAAAAACATGTGAGGTATTTCATCTATTTAAATATTCTTTTTCATTATAAAAAAACCCTAATAACAAAAACTCTTTAACTTTTCTTCAACATAGGAAAATTGATACATATACCGCTTCGTAGCGAAGGTGAACAAACGCGTTTCTGTCGATAACAAGAAACGTATTTGAGAAAGCGTTCATTCCATTTGAGCCGAAATCTGCGTTAGTTGTTGGTTGTTAGGGTACGCCAGTTGAGTTTAGAAGAGAAGGCCCGTTTCGGTTTTTCTATCGGGCGAGAGAAGTGGGAGAGCGAGGATTTTTGCTTGATTTCAGGAGACGACGCGTATCATTTGGATACGTTAAAAATTTGATTCTAAGCTGATTGCAAATGAGCTCGTACCAATTTGGGTACGCAAATTATTATTATTATTCGTAGTTTATTTGAAGTACAAAACTGAAGGTTTACATTTAACTTCAAGGGCGGCATGCACAAATACCGGTGTGTGAAAGAATTGATTCAAACAACAAGAACAAAGAAGTTTTTTTCTGATGGGTCGTACTTTAAAGTTAAGTTACGTTATTGGATAACGCATTGAGCGATTAATAAAAAATTTTTATACAACCGCATAGGGCAGGGAATTAATTTTGTTTGAAGTAATTTTAATATTCCTAAAGGAATCGACTCCATACAGTTTTTTCACGACCCTATTTAGGTGTACGCCCTCTTAGGGTAGAGTTTTGGATACATTTCCTCCATCTTTGCTTCTTTTTCTGTGTATAGCGAGGTAATTATTAGAAGCGAGTGTGAATTTATTATCCCGTAACTTTCTTCTGTTTGTTCTTTATGTTGTGCCCTTTCATTGTAATAGGGATGTTTCCTAAAAATAAAATTATAATATAAGGTATAAAATATTGCAATATCCCATTGAATATCGAAGTAACATTTGCACTAAACGAATATAGGCACGTAAAACATTAAAGGGCGCTCAATAACTTCTGATAGTTCGTATATTTTTATGTCAAGAAATGAATGAAGAATGAAAACACTTTGAAAATAATGTGTAAAAACGCACAGAAATTCAAAAGGTATGAATCAGAAGCAGAAGATTAACGTCATACAAAAAACTGGGTATCAAATCGTGGATATGGACTGATAGGTCTCACTAGTTCACTAGATAATTGAAACTAAAATTTGTTTTGCACAAAAATTTCTATGAAGTAGTAGCCACTACATTTTTACACCCTTTATCCTAATACATATAATATTCAAAATTGGCTGAGTAATGTGACACCAGCCCTGCTGCCTACTTGATCGTCCTTTGTTCTCAGGTTCTGGAAATTTCTAAATTTGCTCTCCGACGGGCCTCATAATAAGCTCATGTACCTAAAAATTAAATAATTCGCGTAAACCGAGGATATAAATACCCAACCTGAACGTGGGGAGCAGTGTTGAGTACGTAAATAATGCCGTCAACAACATCATTGACATGTAACGCTGGATTGGTTCTTTTAAAGGCATCAATAATTTCGCCAGCGCCTTCTACACCGAGTAAAGTGGTGTCCAACATCGGAGTGTCAACTATGCCCGGACTGATACTCTACAATAAGTCGTAGGTATGACTTTCGAAAAGTGATATTACCGTAATTTTTATCCCGCTCTTCATCTCAATTAGTTCCTTGCGAAGTGATTCAGTGAGAGATGTAACTGCAAACTTGGAAGCTTCGTAGAAATGCCCTGAGTGTTGATTTAAATGGAAATGTCCAAGAACACTGTTAATGTGTATTATATGCCCGTGTACTCCATTCGCTGTCATGCTTGCAATCGCTTCCTTGGTCACAATCGACAATCCTACAACGTTAGTATCCAAAATAGCTCTCCATTCGTCTGGGGAGCCTTTGGTGAGCAACGCAAACTTGCTAATTCCCGCGCTATTAACAAGCACATGTATTACACCCAAGTTTTTGTTGATATAATCGAATGCTTTTCGAACACTGTCCTCTTTGGTGACGTCGGTGGCAATTGCGTGAATATTTTGGCCTTTATTTCCCAATTGCTCTGCCATTTCAATTACCTTGCCGCTATTTCGCGCGAGACCTGCTACCTAGTGGAATATAAGAATAAAAGCTTGAAACCTACTCTAGTATAACTTACGATCATTCCCTCTTCCGCAAGTCTTTGGGCAATGGCACTGCCGATGCCGGAACTTGCACCGGTGACAACTGCAACTTTTCCTTCAAATTCTTTCATCTCCCACTGGGCAGATGGCGCAAATATGACACCGTATTTCTAAGCAAAGAACAGAGATAATATGTTATTTTTGGTGTAGGTACATGATTCTCAGAGAATAATTAGCCAGGCTTGTGTCTTCTTAATGATGAATAAATCAACACCCATAACACGAAATGAAATTTATTCTATGGTAATTTGATGTAGGTACGAATAATTGCTGACGACGTCCTCGTAGTGTAGGGATTTGATATATTTTATTTTGACATGAAACAATTATTTTTTCGCTACTAGCTTAGATCGACACGATTATTAATTCTTTTTTGACGTGTAAAGTATGCTATCACAGTATTTTTTAAACTAATGTATTGTCAATTTCCGCCTGGGAAAGTAAAGTTAAAAAAACCACATTAAATATTCAGATAATGATGAAATTTTAATTGCTTTGTATAGTTTGGACCGAGGTTTGGACCTTACCATTATATGTCCTCCACGACACTTCATACAGGACTCGATCTTTTTGAGATAATTATCAATAACTTTTTGGAACATTTCGGGCAATAAATCGACCATAACATTTGGAATGTTGGCTTTGTTGATCAAGAGGATTGTTTGCGTAATATGATTTTTCGCATACCTCAAAAAAATCCCTACGCGTGAAATCGTAGAATCTTGGAGGTCCATGTACATCACCCAATCGCGAAATTACTTGTCCTGGAAATTTTTCTTGCAATAGTGGCAGTGTTGTGCGCCCAGTTGCCCCAACCACGTGACTTCCAGGTCATAATCTTCAATTTCTCTCGAAAAATAATCGGCTCACATACGGCCTTAGCGCTCCGAATTAATTGTAAGTGCTCGTCCTTAGTTATTCTCAAAAAATATGGACCAATAACACCGTCAGACCATAATGCACACCGTACAGTCACCGTTTCCGTAATCAAAGGCTTCACTTGTGGATTTTGGGAGTCCTATATACGGCAATTTTGCTTATTTACGTATCTACACTGAAATAGACTTTCCCATTTCAGGGAGTTGAACTTCCGCTTTCGTTCGAAATAAAAATTTTGAATTTCTATGTATGTGAAACCGTAAATTCTTTAGAAGTTTGAAACCCCATTTAGAGTTCACAAGATTGATCCCAATTTAAATAATGAATTATTTGACCATCTCGATAGGAAAATTGCCATGATTTATTGACTTATGGTTTCTCAGGGAAAATGAACCACTTAGTGATGTTCATTGGATTTTTACGGACAAAACGTAATTTCTGTTTAGATTTTTCTTCTGAATATAATCATTTCTAGTATATCTTCGTATTATAAAAATTACGAACAAACCACACTTTAATTAATATAACTCCAAAGTTAGTGAGGTCGGTCAATATTTATAGGCGAAGACTTTAATATCAATACTTCACAATTTGTGCTTTACTGTTTCTTAATGGTTTTTCTTCACTCTGTTAATGGGAACACGAACACGAGAAACGATAGGCAATAGATCTTACGAAAGTATATTTTCGACAATGCTTTTTTGTACTAGCGAAATTTGCGTGATGTGTTTAAAACCGCTAATTTTTTAACTTTCTCGAATAAGGGCCCTTTACGGTACGGAAAAAGCAAAAGTAAAATCCCATTATTTTAGAGATAAATTGCTCCATTTTATATTGTTGGGATTTGATGGTAGTAGATGGTAAATATAAATCAACAATAAGGCCATGCTACAAGTTATATAGTGAATTTTTTAAAATTAATTTTACAGTTAAATTATCGTCATGTGGTTATAAAAATTTTCTTTCATCATTAATTACAAATTTTTATAACCACATGACGGTAATTTAACTGTAAAATTAATTTTAAAAAATTCACTATATAACTTGTAGCATGACAATGATAATCGTCGAAATCGATCGCCAATAGAAAACTTACTCACGACTTATTGTTGTTTTATATCTACCATCTACTACCATTAAGTCCCATTACTCTTTGTTACTTGGCACTATTTATAAAATGGCGAATCGTTAATCCCGACGAACATGTTTAATCGATCATTAATGTCTTTTCTTAGTATCAATTCTAGATTGTTTTTGTTAATCAGCTTCCGCAAAACTGTAGCTTTTGCAGTTCCCAAGCTCGTGGTTTTTATCGCTTACAAAACTCAATTTGCCTCATTAGGAAAGTGAAATCTGAGATAATCATCAAACTCCAAGGCAACAACTGCCTTCCTGAAGCGATAAACGAACAAGGGCTTACGGAAAAGCAAAAAACGTCGAAACAAACGGCTCGGTCGTCGACTTACAATCAACCAATTTGTTTTTTCAAATGTTACCAAAACCAATTTGGACAATCTGGTCAAAAAATAATTTAGAACCCGTTAAATTTCTATTTTGATTTTTTTGCGAAAAAATCCAAAAGCTTAAATCCAAATTAAAGAACTTTCGTTGAAACAGAACGAAAAATGAGCCTCATCGCCGAAGATAATGTTGTTCCAAAAATCATCATCCCCCAATTTACGAATGTTCTGCGTTGATAAATTTTGGATCTTCTTCTCCATCTTCAGCAAAAGCAGCAATATTTTCAGTGGTGTGTATGTGTGCAATGATGCACAGAACGTCCAATATCAGTAACTGATTCACTGTGTTTTAAATTGTTAGCTGAGAAGGACGATTATGTTGGCCACAATCTGTTCGTAAAACGCGAATTTGGACTAGATCGTTAGTGCCATAATGCCACTTTGTAAATTTTGAACACTATTTAATTTAGAGGTATTCTCTCAAACTGCTCTGAAAATCTTCCGTTCCGTAATGTAACTGGGAGCCGCTTTTACATTAAAAAAATTTGGGTTTGGGAACGTGAACAAAAAATTCAAGTGAAGTTAGTAAATTCCATAGTTTTATTACAAAGAAAGGATGGCCAACATTTTTAATACGTAATAATAATAATAACCCCGTTGCATAATGACGCGCAACCGCGGGGCTTAAAACAAAGGTGGCATTGCAATCAACTCATGGAGTTAAGACACAGTGCTCGTTTGGTATAATACACTTTTTTTCACTTTCGTTATTAGCGACATCAATTAAAATGCAGATTTGAAAAAAAAGTGAGGATCTCAAAGGCCCTTGGAGATTTTTTTTAAATTATTGGGGACTTTTACAGATCCTATACGTTCTTAAAAATCCCTCCTTAGAGCTCAGGTTTTAAAGAATTTCAACACTAAAAGATGAGAAACTTACAGGGTTTCTAAAAGCTTCTAGAAGACTCTTGCATTATCTTTTAGGCTCTTGCAAACCTTTTATTATTTATTAACGTATGTATTCGAAATTTGCACAGTGCGTGCGTAGTGTAAATATTGTTTTTCTTTTGAAGCGTATAAGCGTAAATTTCAGTTTCTTTGTAATGAAAAAGATTTTAAGTTGAAATTTTTTTGCCCCAAACATTGGATTTCTTAGGATGCTTGTGGTAAATATATTAAACAAAAATAAGTCGTATATTTTCTATTGTCATCTTCAGACAATGCTACAAGTTAATTTATTAGCTAATATATAATTATTTATACACGTAAATTACCGTCGTATCAGTGTACGTTGAACAAATCGGTTGAGTCTGTACGCAGCTAGTAAAAGTAATTTTGAAAGTGGCAGATTATCAATAACATCTTGGACGTTAACGAAAAAGATGCTACACTTCATTGCGTGCACGAATTTGAGCAATCTACCGTTATGCTAACAAACCCTCTTAACATAGCAAGCGAATTTAACATGTTCTTTAAAAACGCTGAGGAAAATCTGAGGAACGCTTTGGATGCGGCTGATGATTACGGTTTAAATGAATAGAAAAAACTATTTCCTTGTGATTATAATCAAAAATCATTTTCCCCCTGGATTCGGTGGAAAAAGGTGGTAAAAAGTGTTAATGATTTAATTAGTCCAGTTTTATCAAAAATAGTTAACTTAAGCCTGCAGAGCGGCTGTATGAAGCGGGTATAAAGAGAGTGGCACACAACTCGAATAGAAATCAGTGTGTACGTGTAGATCCAGTTACAAGTTCGTTTCTACCCATTACCTGTGGAGTTCCACAAGGCTCTATTCTTGGGCCGATTTTTTTATTATATATACAGAGTGGCCCAACGAGAAGTATACAAAGGGCTTTTATGGTATTAAATTTAGAAAATTTCGAAAAATCCTCGAACACGTCAATTTTGTATTCGAAGGGGACAACTTTTGGAATACAAATCACGAACCCAACTCTTCACCCCTCTACGTAGGGAGCTTAACCCCTAAAATTTTAAATGGAATCCTATGGCACATTATTTGAAAGCCAATTTAATCGTGATTACTAATCTGCTTTGCTTTTTAAATTCTGTTGATTCGTTTCGGAGATAATTCGCATTTGAAATGGTTTTTTTTCTAAAAAAACCAAAACAAATGCTATCTAAGTCACCTTGTATTAAAATTTTATTTTGACGCTTCAATTTGTTTGTTAAACTTAAGTGAACCTGTCAGTTGTCCGAAACGAATCAATAGAATTTAAAAAGCAAAGCAGGTTAGTAATCACGATTAAATTGGCTGTCAAATAATGTGCCATTTGCCATAGAATTTGAGGGGTTAAGCTCTCTAAGTAGAGGGGCGACGCCTTGGGTTCGTGATTTATATTCCAAAAGTTGTCCCCCTCGAATACAAAATTGACGTGTTTGAGGATTTTTCGAAATTTCTAAATTTAATACCTACCCTAAAAGCCCTCTGTATACCTTCTCGTTGGGCCACTCCGTATAAATAAATTGTGTTCGGGAAATTGTAACGGTTCTGTAACTTGTTTTTCCGACGACACGGATTTCTGTTATACAGCAAGTACGTCTTTTGGCTTGGAAAATATAATACAAACGTGGAAACTGTTTAAAAGAAGAAAAAAATTCTAATTTTTGTGCTAATTGTATTGTGGTTGAGCAGGTGTGTGATATAAAGTATCTGGGTATACATCTGGATGAAAACTGCAATTGGAAGAACCATATAACTGGAGTAAAAAAATATATAAATATGTGAGGAAATTTTATTTATTGAAGTATGTTTGTCCACTGCCTTTCTTGCCAACAATTTATTTTGCGATTGTGGAAAGTAGGATACAGTACGGGTTATCCT